ACTTGGCGCAAACTTCTTGCAAGTTTGTAAAAATTAACATGATGCGCAGTTGTAAATGGAAGCTCCTACGGCTGCGCAATAAATTTTTTAACCTCCAAAGCAGTGTGCCTTCTAGATTCTCTTAGAAATAAATTGTTTCTAAAATTTTTTTTTTAATTGCCGTGAGAGAAAATTTTGTTACTTGCACGATATTTGCTACATGTTTGCACAGCAATCTTGCACAACTTGGACGGCAAGCTTATTCCTGCAAGTTTTCGTGGTGATTGGGTTAAGTGTAAGTAAACATGTATTTTAAAAAGTGAGAGTAACAACGTAAAACATTAATTTTAATGTCAAAGTGAAAAAAATAATAGTGCGAGTAAAAACATAAAATATAGTTTTGTAATTGTGAAAGTGTAAGTGTGAGAGAAAATTTAAAAAAAATGATTTCAGTGTAACTGAAAGTTTAAAAAAATAATATTTGTAACAGTGAGTGAAAGTGAATATGACAATTTAAAAAAAAATAATGTTAGTGTAATTCTACGTAAAAGTGTAAAAAAAAGTCGAATGTAACTGAGAATGAGAATTTAAAAAATAATTTTATTACAAGTGAAAGTGATTGTGTAAATGAACACGAACAAACCCCGCTCTAAAATATAAATATTAATATACATCTTATGTGTAAATAAATTTTTAATAAATTTATCTTTAATTAATAAAAAGAAAATTCATAACTGAAAAATCTCTCTGAAATTTAGAAAACATTCATTCTATTCAGAGTCTATGTTTTATGTACAAGAGAATCTTAATATAGCAAGGTTCAAAAGTTTTGCAAATATGTTTGAAAGTCTTAAGCTTGCACTTAAATACGTGAAACGAACTCTCTCGGGAAAGTATATATTGAGAGAAGTCCAGTATTGGTGAGTTTTTGTGGGACGAAAGGGGGAGAAGGAAGCTCACTTTAACTAAAGGTCTGGACGGCTCTCAATATTTAATCAGTTTCGATTGGTTTAAGACGTTGAACTAGTAAATGAAGGCACGATGTGTTCCTTCCTCGTAAAAAACTGAAGGGAGTTTGGAAGCAAAAGAATCCACGAGGACGAAAGTATTCCCCGTGGGGGTGGACAACAGAGTGATGGCCAAGTGGGCAGCTGTCCCAGTCACAGTACTTTCCTATTGATTCCTCCTTTTTTTCTTGAAAAATCAACTTTCTTCTTTGAAATGCTTCAATAAAGCTTGGGGGATCTTTGTCCCTCTTGAAAATAAAGCCAATTCTGGTGTCGTTAGTCCGTTAGTTGTCCACGATTTCTCGAACGGTTTCACTTCTGATGATGAGTTGTCTGCTCATTCAGAAAAAACTTTTCCTATTTTATTATATTGTCCGTGATTTCAATTAAATTTACAAACAAAAAGTATAGTAGGTATATTGATATGTGAGCAGAGTGTTATATTTTATTTAAACTAATAAGAATGAGAATGATTAAATTAAATACTGTAGTGAACGGGTGAAAGGTAAATGCGTAAATGACAAGTGGGTAGATTGAAGATTTTAATCTCGCTGTTTGCTTAAGCAAGGAAAATGTTTTTTTAAACGTATTTTAGGGAGAGTCATGGTTTTTGGTAGGACACTTCAGGCGAATCCACGTGGTGCCAAGTAGGGTGCATTAACAAAGTTCCCATTATCCACGCGTGAGAGACCCTTAAATTATCCGACGCTCGCCTAGTACCGGACGCGCCCACCCTCTCTCGGCGAGAAAAAGACGTATGAGCTTCAACCTTCTCGCAGCTTCGAGGCGTGAAGAATCGAGTCGTGATTTCCCCCAAAAATACATTTCCTAATTAAATAAACAAACACAATCACATTAATTAGAAAACAATCTTTAACCGCAATAAAATTATGATGATAAATAATTTTGAATCGAACTTGAATTGAATATATCTGAAGAACGTGACAAACTAGAAGATGGAGCTGAATCTTTGTGGACGGCTATATCGAAGGGAAGTTGTAGCGACCAAATACGACTCTATTTTCTGACCACGATTCGACAATTCGACATTAACACTGATATTTCGAAGCAAGCGTCATGGCACGAGTTCGCGGGAAATCCGGGGTAAGCCTAACCGCTAAGAGCTGTGATCCGGTGGCGGTTTATCTAATTGGAATTGTCGAGAGTCTAAAGATGGTCTATTCCAAGGTAAGGGAAACTGGAGAAAGCAGGAAAGGGAAGACAACTTTGGGCTATCTCCAGGAACACACTTACAAGAAGGCTCTTTAGACTTTAGTGACGTGACGTCGCCTAATACTCTAATCCCTTTCGGTAGAAGCGCCATCGTCTATTCCACTATACCTTGTGAGTCTACTCCTATGAGCCGGCTAACACTTGCTAATTAATTAATGAAACCGCATTCATATATACCTTCGTCTACAGATAACGCTTCACGATGTTGCCTTGCAATATTAAATGGAATTTTCCATAGTCAATATTAAAACAATTTTTTCAGTTTTGCAATTTTCAATATTTGCCTTTATTCATATTTGATTGAACTTTTCCTAACTTCACAATGACCTTCTTCTTCCTAATTAATGGTTTTGAATAATTAGGTCAATTTTTATTTAACATTAACGGCAAATAAGAGCTTAACTTTGTACTGCGCATGCTCTTCATTTTGAAGGTTTAACTAATCTCATTGGTAGGATTTCAATTAACTCAATACAACTTAATTATCTCAGATTAAGAGCATGCGCAGTTCCATTGTTATATCTGCAGATTACACTGACATTATTTTGTATTAGAGGTGCATTTAGTAATTACACGATTAAATATAGAGTACACGTCGCAAGTTACAGAAGTAACAACATTTATCGATCAGACAAAATTAATGGATTTGCAGAAAAAGGGTTAAAATACATCAATTAGTCCTAAAGAAGTTTTAATCCACACGAACATTAACGGAATTCAGTAAAGTTCGAAAATTGGATCAATCAGAAGAGAGGGGGGGGCATAGTAACAATTAAAGCAGCGGAGTATAAATATTTTTAAGCTTCGATAATCAGTAGAAATAACGAGCGTAACAAGTACTCGTCCGGTTATCACGAAGGGTGGCATATTCTAAGCTTCTCCCTCTGCAACATCGAAACCCATATATGCCCAGGGCTGCTTTCTAATTATTCCCCACAGGCCGTAAGGGATGGCACGTAATTGGAGGGTGGACGCGAACACATCGATCCGCTTTTCTGAGGGAATTTCTCTCCAATTCCAAGTCGATCTTTCTCTCTCTCTCTCCATCTCGGGTTAGTGAGCACTGGTCTGCAAAGAAAAGTGATAATGTCTTAAGCTCTCGGTGCGATTTAACTTGTGATTTTGCTCGGCCTGTTCCAACAGTTCTCAACAGTGCCGAGTTCATCGCTCTAAACTCCTGGGTTCAGTGGTTTGGGGTGGGTTTAAGGTTTAAGGGAAGCCTTCCTTTCGAGATCCCAGGGAGCAGCTCTCTAAGCGCTGACGCTGATCCTTCTCTTCGAATCTCGAATCCCGGTTTATCTAATTCGAGATGTCGGCTACCCCTATCACCAAGAAACTTACATACTTGCAAGCAACTTGTCAGAAAAGCAGTTGTGATTCAGCTTCTAAAACCGCGGTCAGTCCAACTCCCACTTGCGAATTAACCGAACCTTTACCAACTTGAAGAACCCCTCACTCGATCAAAACTAAATCTAATTATATCTAAAGAAAGTCCACAAGAAAATCGATTAAATAATTTTTTTTAATTCCATTTTTTTCACATCCCACTTTAATAACTCAACCCACTAAAATTAATAAATCCCTGTCAAATAATTAAATTGTCTACGTGTATTCTAAATTGTTTAAAAATTAGTACAATCCTCCCTTTTGTGCCCTAAGACAACAAAACTCTTTTAATATCAAAAAATTGTACGTGACATTAATTCGTTCCTTGAACTGTTTGTTATTGAGCAGTGTCAAAATTGGAACAAAATATCATCCAGGTTCCCCTTTAATTCACCTTTATCAAAATTAGAACTCTACGTGGCAGATGGCAGGTTTCATGATCGATTTGAATAAAGTTTGTGAATTTGAGACAAGAATGACAACTGGCGTAGGTGATTTTTTTGAGTAGAAAATAGTGAGATCTAAAGACTCGGGTCATTCCTTCGTGCTGGTATGCATCCAGGGTTGCGTGAAACTCCTGGCAGCCAGCCTTCCTTCCTACTCTTGGTACCACAGTGTCTCCAGGGGTGGTAAAGGGAACAGGACGATTCGAGGTGAAAGGTAGAGAGGGGCAACCGTGTCCGGGAGTCGCTTTCTACTGAGACTTGGGGGTGGACAGTGCGCAGACCCGCCCCCACTTTTAGAACGAAGCAGGAGCGAGATGCCCGCGCATAAAAGCATCCCCTCTAGTTGCACCGACCACCCCAACTTGCCTTTTTCCTTCAACATAGCACAGTAGCTTTCGAGCACCCTCTCGTGAAGGGTTTGTTATACTTTCACTAAACAAAACTTATTTTTTACTCACCGGTTTCGCACGCCTTTTGCCTAACTGTGTGGGTGAATCTGTGTGTGAATGTGTATGTGTGTGGGCTCGAAAATGAACCAAAAGTTTTTGTGCAGTCGATTAAGAAACTTGGCTATCAATGACCTACATAAAGACAAAAGATAATTGCTCTTGTTGAGTAACAAGACGACACTTGTCGAGACTTTTTGGACTTCGCCTGAACTTGAGTGAATTTTGTTTCTGATGTTTTGTTTCGGTTGCAATAGTGCGGACTTACTGACAAGATGATAGTGACGATAGCATTGGTTGCCCCTTAGACCCAGTCATAATTATTTGACATTCGCTGATCAAGTAGGTATATAGCTAAGATGACACAGATTCTCTGAACCATTGTTAATTGAATATACTTAATGAATGGACATTAACATTAAACATTTATTTCATTAATATTAGTTGAGTTCTTTATTGTGACAAGTGCCTAAGATCATACTCTGGATTTCTTTTTGTTCCAGGGTGGAACTCACCAGCGTACCGGGTGGGCAGAATGCAATGGCACATCTCAAAAAACGAAAATTGGAAGCAGAGTCAGCCACGGCGAAAACGAAATTACAACAACTTTCGACAGTGAACAGCAAGAAACTCGGTGTTCAAACGGGCATTCCACAAGAAATGGAGACGGCCGATGGGGCGGCAAAACGAAGAAGAAAAAGTGTTCGGGATGATGATTTGCGAAAACCGGTTGACAGCGAGTCAAATAAGAATATTCCCCTGCCCCAAAGAAAGAGAGTATTTACGTCAGGAAATTCGGGTAGTCCTGCCAGAAAGTCAAGTAAAAACTGCGAAGAACCGGAAGACGACGAGACGCTGATAAGAGAAACGGAAGCGGCGTTGAAAAGCCTTTCCGGAAGTTGGCCTGGTCCCAGAGGCTCTTTGTATCAGAGAGGAAACTCGGACGAGGATAGGTACGAGTCTAATTTTGAGAATCTATTCGAGGAGAAGAAGGACAATCCAAAACTCTCACCCTCTTCAATGTCCACTTCTTCGACGACAAGCAACGAGACTGGTTATTCGCTGAAGGACGTTATTTCGTTGCGCTGTCAAGATCGGACCATCAGAACTCAGCAACAAATCAAACAATTCGAGCCAACAAAACAATATTCAAGTAAAACTAAAAAAGATTTAGACAATAGTATGAAATTTGAAAGTGATTCGACCATCCACTGCGGTCAAAATCAAAACGAAATACTCAAATCGAGATCAACCAACGGCAGATTACTTAAATGCGACAAAGGAACTGACAAATACTCCAGGTATGAACCGCCTGACTTTAATGAATTAGTTGACGAGTCATCAAACGAACTGGAAATTGACATGTCTGACCCAGCGGTGGACAAAGAAGATGGAGATAGAGACAAATCTTCCGAGAGGGAAGATCGGATTTGTAAAAATGGCCCATCACCCAATTCATTGAAACACCACCAACTGCAAATGTACAACTATCAAAGGCAATACACTGACGGTGGCATCAAAGTCGCTTCCTCAGTGACATCAACAGCCTCTCCTGCACCAACAGTTGGCTCTCCCTTCTCAGCCACATCCGCTTTCAAACCTCCAAACACTGACCACTCGAAATCCAACTGTCGGGGAACATCAACGATAGGAGCAACAACAATTCCGCCCATGGGACCATACCCAGCCTCCGCCACCTTTGTTGGTTATCCATCGCCTGGACCCGTTATGCCTACACCCCACCCAATCACAGCCATTTCACCATCAGCTGAAGAAAAGCATACGGCATCCCTCTTGCAGTTGAAATCGACGAAAGAGGAAGTACATTCCATTCAACTTGAAGTTTCCTCGACTCCTGTGACGACAACTAAGACGCCAAGTACTGGACTATCGTCAGTCGGAAGTCCGGACGCAAACTCAAAACAATATACCATACTTCAACCTGCTGGACTCGGTTCAAGAGCAGCTAGCGCAATTCAGGATATCGCTAGAGAAGGAGTTGTCAGCGTTTCTGCAGTAAGCAGTAGTAGCGCTGGAAGTAATAGCAGTACGGGTAGCAATGGCTCCAGCAGCAACACTTCCGGTAATAACAAAACTTCGAGCAACAGTTCTAGCGGTAATGCAACGAACGGAAGTAGTTCGACCTCCAATGCTACCAATGGCAGCAGTAATAGCAGCGGGAATAGTAGTAGCATCACCATCACCAGTATCACAACCACGAATACAACAACTAGTTCGACCACTGCTGGAGATGTTTCCACAACGACCGGAGCTGCTCAGCAAGAAGCGGTCATGAAAATTTCCGAAAGAATCACATCCTACGAGAGCAACCGACCCGCCATGTCCATGTCACCGACGAGTATAGGCAGAGGTGAGTACCACGGATTCTTTATTTTACACTATAAGATAGGAGAAACAATTTTTAATTCCAATATTAATTGTTGTAGTTGTCTTGTTAAAAAATAAACATTACAGTTTGCAGTTTTACTTATTTATTTATTAGGTATTTTCAGTCAAATATGATTGGTTTTTACCAACAGCTAATTAAAGTATAAATCAAATTACAGCAATTGAATTCTTTGCAAACGTTAAAGATTTTGACTGAATCAAAAAAGATTTCCTTCTGATACAATATGAAGAATATTTGTTTTTATTAAAGAACATTTAGATAAAGTAAAACAACTTTCTGGAATATGTGAATATTTCAGAATAATAGGGATGAATATTTATAGATTTTTTACTGTCCGTTAAAATTGGAATACAAAGTTTCTACCAAAAACAAATTCTTCAATTTGTATAAAACTGTTAAAAAATGTAGTTCGTAATTTTATACAAAAGTGTTTGAAGCAATTATCGAAATTGAAAATTTACAACACAGTTTTTCAAATTTAATAAAAAATTTTAAGATGAAATTTCAATTTCAAACACTTTTATGATAAAAGTTAAAAATTTAAAAAATTGTTCTATTCACAATATACAATAAATCCTTGTAAAATTACGCCTCCTTATCTAAATGTGCCATAAACCTCAACCCACTAACGTCAGCTTACTCTCATTCTTTAAATTAGTCATCGTTGGAAGATAAATTTTTGAAATGTGAATACCAGTTAAAAATAGTGACATGATTTAAAAATACATTATCATTCAGTGTAACATAATATTATTTGGGATTACAACGTCATACTCTCGGGAATTGATTTTCATATATATAGGGGAGGCTTACGGATGTAAAAACTGCTATAAAATAGGGGAAATACCAACAACAATAGGTTACCGGAATAAAACGTTGCATAAGAAACAGTTGCAAGATTAGGAAAGTATCAATGTTTCCCATAAGTTTCATTAATTTTTCTTCTGTATACTACAGAGATATGCAACTTTTACTATTGAAATCTTTCCATTTTTTGATTTAGGTAATTGAAACCGATTTAAAATCCGGAGGCGACGTTTTCAAAAAAATTCATTAATGTTTGCTTGAGAAAACTAAAATATGGGTAAAGAGGAGTGTAACTAGTTCTTGTGTTTCGAAAGGGGGACAAAAGGCATTTTCAACTCTCTCTCTCTCTCTTACTCTCTCATTCGGTTCTAGAAAGTTAGGGGAGTTAGGCCACAGCGGAAAATCAATAATTACGAACCGAGGGGTGATGACTAAAATGGTGAAATCAAGGTCGCTTCAGCAGAGTTATTCTCCGTAACTTCTCAAGTGACTACTCCTCCACCCCTTTCGGTTGTACTCCGTCTTCCCTTTATCTTTACTGCAATCGTCAAAATTAACTGTCAAGGCAATAACGCGAAAAAGCTTCATCGAGCACATAATGATGATAAATGTCGTTAGAATTTGTTTGAAGTCCCGTACAACGGACCTGGTCATTTACTTAAAATCTCGCTCTTGATTGAGAAAATGATCAAAGAGAACCAGTAAAACAGAAATGATCAACTGAGTTTCTTCCACAACACATTATATGAAGATGTGAATTTTTATTCCTTTGTATAAGGAAAACAATTTTCGGGCGAATCATTATTAAACGTAATTACAATTATAAAGAGAAAATTTTAAAAAATAAAAACATGATTCCTTGATGGCGATTAAGGCCAAAAGTTTCGGATCCCTCAGCTTCTTTAGCTTGATTTTTGCGGCATTTTCTCATCAAAGAAAGCTATCCGTCGGTGAAGATTTAACAGTTGGAAGGCGACAGGTGGAGCTTGAGTACATTCCATGGTCTTAGAGTCGTGGTGACATGGAGTGTCTAGTCGGGGGAAATTTGGGGTTGATACCACGTCATACGTATAAGCCGCAGCTGTCAGCGGGTGGAAACGTGACTAGCATGCTTCCAGTTCCAAGCCACCTTATTACCACCCTACGACTCTGCCTTTCCTCATTATCCCCTTAGCGGTTTCCGTCGAGCATAGGGTCGAGAATATTTGAAAAATTCAATCTTCACATTTATTCTTCTTGCACGATTGCACTCACCACTGATCACGATAATAAAATTCGTCGATTCAACGAATGAGATTGTTATCAAATCCACTTAATCAAAGTAGGTTATTACAATTATGATAAGCGTCCTTTGTTTACTTACACGATCGCTCATTTCTTATTTATATGCTTAATTGTTTTGTAAATTTGGTTTTTTTCTGGAAATCACCCACCCTCACAGGGTTGCATTTGATTTTCAACTCCGGTTGCGTGCCACCCCTCACCGTGAAAGCGTGTTGACACGCTATAAAACCGCTATCGAGAAATCCTTTGGCCGCAAAAAGTCACCCCTTGGTACCCGGCACCGTGCGGAGGTTTGCCGTGCTAATAAAAAAATAAACTACCGCGTAACTCAATTTTACGCTGCCTTTGCGGTCGGTCGCATAAAAGACCACAGGTTTCTCACTCTTCCACAAGTTTTTTTATTACAGTACGTGTAAATACAATAACGTGTCCCTATATCAAAATGAGCAGTTTCCGTATAACATTGAATGGAAAATTTAAATTTTCATGGCAAGATCGAGGAGCAACAAGTCTTTGGAAGCAGATTTTGATTATATTCTTTGCTGAAAATATAAAATGGCGGAAGTAAAGAACTCGACAAAAATTTAACGTGGCACGCGTCAGTCGTACGTAACGAACCAAATGAATAAAACAATTCTGGTGTTTATGTACATCTCGCTCTCCCATTGTGACCCTCCACGTGAAATGGGCACAAAATAACACAATTACACACTGGCCTCAACCTACCCTTTTGCCATATCCTATATTCTCATCCTCACCCCCTGGATGATCCTTTCCCTCGTTCTGAGTCCCTGCATACTCTTTTCACCTTCCCTCTTTAACTCACCAGTTTTTTTCTCTCTTCCTAGCGCACACACACCCTTCCGGAAAAAAGGTTCGTGCGGCTCGTTACAAGTCTATTCAGACGTCCGGAAAGAGTGGCGCGTGCCAGTATTCACTCTGTTGACCATGATCATTCTGCCGAACTTTGAGTGGAAGGTTTTTCAAACTTTATGGCTAATTTATTAATCGAACATAATGCTTCAATTTCCTTCGCTTTTTAACCTTCATTCTCTTTTCCTCTTGAGTCAAGGATGCCAATTGTCGAAAATTGAATTTCTCACCCAAAATTAAGTCAATTAGCTAAAAAAGCCAATTTTTAATTTTGAAAATTAGGTGCAATAAAAATATTTAGTTAGGGAACTTTGTTCCGAGTTATTGGCATTTTTTGTTTTTCGTTTACAACTTTTCACTCTAAAAATCATACCTTTCCACCCAACATTCGAACAACCTATACTGCAAAAGGAGGTATCTTATTTTATGATGTTTTGGTAGCGTTTTCAAGTGTATCATTTCAAAATTAACTTTTTTTTTAAATTTAGTTTGGCAAGACTGAAAAGATAATTATATAATAAATCGAACTTCTGAATTTTTTTTTCATCCAACTTCTGAGAAATAAGGGACTTTTTTTGTTTATGCGAAAGTGGTGTTATTTGCATTTAAAGTTCAATTTACAGTTTTTTAGTGCTGCTCATGAGCCAAAAGTTTTGAACATTCAAATGAACGTAATTTTTTTTCGCAACTAATTATTATTCTATGTACAATCGTTTACGGATAAGTGAACATACAGAAGATACATCTCCTAATATTTTTCCATGATACAGGATGAGACATTTTTAAGAATGAAGATATTGTTTTGTTTTGCGCTTCATCATCATATACATGGTTCCAGCTATCAGTGACAATCATAATTTTTCGGTTCACGAATTCAAAGCTAATTTAAGATAAGAGGGGAGAATATAATCCATGGGATTTTGGTCTTGTGGTGTGTATAAGAAAATACGTGTATGTTAGGAGTGGGGGTGAAAAGCCAAGCTAACTCTCACTCTAAATAAAGCATACAGCTAATGACGTCACGTATCGTAATCCAATTTACGCGGGGTGGCACACTCGTGGGGTATAAAGAGAGCGAGAGAGAGAGTGGGGTACATAAGCGGGGATCGAGGCCTCGAGACGCGAAATGACGTCCTGATGAAGTTTCTCCGTCAGAGAAGCGATTCGGGCCGACGGTAGGGGATCAGGGCCAGGGGGATTAGTACACGACAAACTTTATAAAAGTGCGCTCGTCCCTTGGAATGAACACCCAACCTAAAGCTGGCCTCTCCTTCCAATCCTGTATCGTCTTTTCTCATTTTGGCCATCTGTTTTACACTTAATGAAATTATATTTATTAATAAGCATTATTTTTTCACATTAATCCAATCCTTCTAAACACCAAATACGTACCTTTACTTTGTATAAATTTTACCCTAGAAAATGAAGATGATCGATTGAACTAATACATGATGACAGACTGGAAAAAATATGAAATGACTTGATTAGCGAGGTGATGATCAATGGAAAAAAAGTGATATATATTTTTCATGATCTAACGTGTATATACTTACAATAAAGCGCTCACATAAAAGAGTGAGCGGGGTCAATGTTGCAGAAAAGAAGAAATAGGGAAATCATTGCAGAGGACAAATTAGTAGTTAAGTTGGTCATATCTGTAATATGGAAGCGTGTGGTTTTGTGAACACGCGAGGATATCACGTGACAAACGCGATCGTATACGTGTCACACGAGTGACCAGCTAAATTAGATATGAGTATAACCCCTGCACGATATGCGTAAGGAAAGCTTTTCCCAGAAAGTTTCCCTTGATCGTGGGAGAGTAGAAATTTACTCGCTAGAACAATTTAAAAAATAAATATGGGAATTAAATGCATGTTGGTAATAATATTATTCTCGATCAACAACTGTGAATGATGTTTGGGATTTAAAAATATTATTATATGCCTTTTTTCGCCTAACAAGTGTGATATATTATTATGAATTGTATGCATGAACTTCTAATTCAACTATACATCTAACAATTAATTGAGCGAGAGATTTTTATTTTGTGAACAATGTCAAGTTAAAATGACAATATTAAGCAAACAATTCCTTTGTTCCGCTGGTGTGTGTATATATCTGTTCAGAAAGTTTCTTTGTGCTAATCTCAGTGGCTTAGGTTTGAATCCCAGAGGCTATTTAGAAATTCGTGGAGCGCACACGACAAAATGTAGGACGACCACACGCAATCCTTTTCGTCTCCTTTCGACAGTATTATTTTTCACCCGAATTGGGAAAAAGGTCTGCCATCTATAAATGTGTTTATTGCTTCTGTAACACTGATGTTGATGCTATTTTTCATTCATTATTCTTAGAAATCGGGTTTATTAGTTTTCTTGTAAGGTTATATTATAATTTGAAAAAAGTTGCAGTCAAAAAGTAATTCCATACTTCACTTGCTGCAAATTTAAATTGATTTATCGTTTCATTACTGACTTTGTGAAAATCATGTTTTTCTCGGTTAAGATAAAATAGCTTTCTTCTATCTCTGGATGTTAAATCATCTGTCGAGATATCAGATCCGTCACTTAATAATTAATATCGATAGAGTTATAAATGAGGCACTTCTCACGCCAAAAGCTTTTTGCTCATAACGCTTGTACAATAATTCTCCCATAGTCTTTTTGAATAAAATATCCAAAGTCCAGCGGCTGACGTCTTTCCAGATATATAGATGAGAGAAAGGTGGAGAGAGAGAGAGAGTGCCAGAAGCGAAAAAGGGGGATTACAACTGGAAGTAGGAATTCGTGTCTAATATCCATTTTCATTTATGAAGGGATATATGTTACGAATAGGGATCAATATTAAGGGAATTTGATTGAAGTTTCGGGGAATCACTCATGAGTGGAAATAATTTTTCGAGAGTCAATTTGAGTGTAACTTCAAAGTTTGCAACTTCAATTACTTAATATATAAGAAAATGTTTTTAAAAAAGAAAAATAAACTTTTTTCTAATAACTAATATGATGCTTTCATTATCTTGTGCTATAATTTTCTACGTAATAAGGTGGGAAATACAGTTGAACTAATTCACTCGTGTCTGGGTGGTTTGATTTGTTGTAGAGGGCAACAAGTGCCCGACCCCTGGTTGCACTGGGCAGGGTCACGTGACCGGACTCTATTCACACCACCGCAGGTAAACAATTATCAGTAATTAACTGTCGACGTGCTCCGTAGGTTTCTCCATGTCGATTAACCGTCCATTTGAACGTGCTTAATTAATATCTCCATTATCACTCTATCTATTGATTCGATACCTTTAGGGTGATAATTACCCTCTCACTCTATTTCCAATAAATAAATAATTACATCTTACCTTCATTTTTCATTTTTAACGGCTTTGTATACAACTTTTACAATTTCAATATTATAAAGATAAAAATATACCATTGACGCTTGAAATGGACGCTTTAATAAATTTTTTTATTTTATTTTTTATCTAAATTTTCTAAAATCAAGTAATACAAAATACTATTTTTATGCAGCACTTTTGATAACAGTAATTTAAACAAGTATTTTCTTTCACAGCCTTTCCGGTTGTCCACGCAAAGATAAGCTAACTCCAGAGAGTGAGTATTGTCGAAAATTTTCTTCATTTTTAAACGTAGCAATAGTGCATCTTCAGTTTACGCAACAATGCGTTGGCGCCTTTTTCGGATTAAATCGGCAAGCAAATCTTCCAAATTGTAAATTACGATACTAATTTGATTTAGTTTTGTTTATTTTCAAAAAAAAATATAATGTAAACGTTCAAGTATCGAAATAATCATTTAATTACAATGAAATTAATCAAAAAGTAAAATAAATTATCTAGTAGAGACAAAAAACTGCAATAATGAAAACTAAAATGGGAAATGATTTCCTTGCCAAACATTGTTTGAAACCAAAAACAAATTCTAAAATAAAAGGAGCCGCGCTCGCGTAAGTGTTTTGTTATTCTTTGTGCTTTTTTGTTTGCGGGGTAGAGAGCTTTATTTATTGTGTTCACATTTGTTTTAATTTAACATTTTGTTCTGTAGTTCATTATAGTAGAGAGTTATCACCACACTTGACTTGATTTTGTTGCCGTACTACTTTGGAGAACTCGAGACCCCGAGACACGGGCGATATCCCGGCATGCACACACGCCAGAATCAAAAGGAGAATCTCAGCAATCGAGTATTGTGACAATTAACATAATTTAAGAAGATTTATTATCCGTGACCATGCATATTGTACGGTTATAATCTTGCCTTTATTTCCCCAAGCGTTTTCGTTAATATCACGTGTGTAATCCTATATATCAATATTCTATATCCAACTTGAAATATCTGCTCTTTTAACATTTAATCATTTCATTCTGAACCATTTTATAAAAAGAAAATATTTTCATTCAACATACTCAGTTTGCTTAATTTAATTGACTTTCAATTTCAAAATTAAATTCTTCGTAATTGACGAAATGACCGGCTAAGAACTCATTTGGCACCAATTTTTTTTTTTGTACATTTCACAAAATTATGAAAATATTTTGCAAATATTGAGTAACATTTCGTATAACTTTTAAACATATTCATATTTTTATAAAATTCGGTTATCGATTGACAAATTCTGAAAAAACCAAGTTCGAACCTAGACTACGATCATTTGGACAATTAACAAATTTCACCAATTAAAAATCTTAATTGATAGTGTTATTAGTTTGGTCACATGATCTTGTATAGGTTCGTCACGAATCAAAATTCAATTCAAAAAAATTGAAAATTCGTTTCTCAAAAAAATTGTCTTTTCGGGTTTTCAAAAATAATTAATACACTAATGTCAATTTACACGAAATAGAAAATGGACTATTTTTCCCGATGTTTGCTGTCGAAAACAACACCACGATACGTTATTTGTAATCTTGAGTATCATAAGTTAGCACGTACACTGGTTGATATGTACTTTTTTTTTGGTCTGTTAATTTGTCTCTCGATTATATATAATTACTTTTGTTTCTCTCTACCCGCTCGATATGATTATTGTAAATTACACCTTGATTTGTAATGATCCACGTGTAACAGTATATTTTATTTCTTTACTTTTGTTTGTCAAAAAAAAAAAATCCCTTGATTAGGTTGTTCGTTTTGGAACAACCTGATTTTTATTTTAACCTACAACTCTTTTAAATCCGAACCGATCAATCGAACCCTTTGTCCTTGTCGATCTTTTTTATAATAACTCCATGACTCAAAAAGATTCTACTCGATTCTGATGCGTGTTGTTTGTTTAACGACGTGTCTTATATAACCTCGCACGTGTCTCGGTTCTCGCAGTTCTGGCGATGCATGAGACTATTTTGAAATGCCCAACGCCTGGTTGCAACGGTCGCGGTCATGTCAGCTCCAATCGGAACACACACAGAAGTCTGTCCGGATGTCCCACCGCTGCGGCCAATAAGCAAGCCGCCCGTGAGGCTCGACACAAGGCTCAAGGTAAGGCGATCTGGCCGGACTGCAAATCACAACAACGCGATACTGGGGATTTCAATAATTTCAAATTTTCAAATTCCATTTTTTCATTACTACATATTTATTATTCTCTTGAAGAAATATGTTCGGTAAAGTTAAGATAAATTATGAAACAATCTTGAAATCGGAATTAGAAAATTTGAAATAGTGGACACAATAAATCAAAGAAGAATTATTAAAAAGTTTTATTTTTACTAGTAAAGGGGTTAATTAAAATTAACAATGGACACAATGATCATAGACTTATAAACAAGAAGAGCGATCGTGATATGGACAGCAGCGCCGTCTACACTTTGTTGTTTTTCTACATTCCTTTTACTCTCGCGCTTACCTCTCTTAATTGTCTATAAGTCTTTGGCCATTGCAAATGTCTGGAGACAACAATTTATTTATTTCAACAAATTCAGATATTTTATGCATCAGTTGCTAAACATGTAGTTAGCAACAGAAAATCAAAGATATTCAACCTAGTTGATGTGCCATGGACAGTTTTGTGTTTTTACATGTTCACAACTCTAATTTTTGCATATATCGTCTAATTTTTTGTATTTTGCAAAATTTAGATTTAATATCTTTGTTATTATCTTTAATTTACTACTTACTGAAACTTACACAACGCGATTCTTTAAATTAATCCTTAAACCTTGTAGATCATGATAACTTATTATTTGCACAACACTAAAAACAAAAAAACAGAAACAGTAGCTACTAAAGTGTCTATACACTTTGTTGTAGATGGCACAGCACAAAATATTGCTTGTATGAAAATCAATATAAGTAAATAAATATATTATCAAGTAAATGTAATATATATATATATATATATATATATATATATATATATATATATATATATATATTACATTACAGCTACAAATAACTGTTGCGACTAATTGAAATTGATTAATAAAAATGATTTTTACTCAAAACAATGAAATTGTTAATAGACTTCGTTGAACTAATTCACTGATTACATTTTCCCACAGTGTCAGGTATACCTCCGGAATACATTAGTACAAATCTTTTACCACCATCGATGGATGGAAAGATTTACAGTCAATACAGCTCAGCATCTCAGGATACTAAACCAGTTGTTAGTTCTCCAACATACGACTATTATTCAGCAACGAAATCTGTGGGTATCAGTATAAAACCCCCGAAGTCTCCGGAAGATAGTTCGTCGAGGGTGAACAAAGTAGTACCCAAAACGGAAAACAATTCCTCTAGTTCGAGTTGTTGCAACGCCTTATCAGGAAGAATACAATCTTCAGAATTGTTGATACCAAAAACGGAGGATACCTCCTCCTGTAGGGTCAATTCTCCACCACCTCCTCCACCACCGTCGGCAAGACAGACGTACGATCCGTACTTGAATCAGGATTCGAATTCTTCGTCAATGTCGTCGATGGATGCCATGGGTTCGAGGGCAATGGGGGCAACCATACATCATCCTAGTCAACATCCCGCACACCATGTGCTGCCAATGCAGCCAACGGTTGCGTATCCAATGCCCATGGTGGAAGACACCAGGATGCCTCACCAAATGTCGCAAAGATCCCCTTACGAGTCGTCGGCCATGATGGCTGCAGCTGCAGCGGCCGCAGCAGCAGCCACAACTACGGACGATCTCTATCATCACAGATCTGTCGAACATGCCAGAGCTTACATGCACCCATCGGCTGGAAACATTGCCAGGCCCGTTGTCACTTACTCAAATGAAATATCAACAGCCAGAGGTTACGAAAATGCAGTGGTAGTCAGTGCAGCCAATCATCGACCTTATGATCCTGGTACTGCATCTGCATACGATAGGTATGACACTCAAACATGTGCTCCTCTTCAACCACAACAACAGCAACAGCAGCTTCATTCGAGGGCGAACATGTATTACCTCGGCCAATCCGGAATGACTCCTGAGGAGCAAGAGAGAGTCTACCAACAGGAAGCCGTAGCCGCTCAGCAACATCAAATGGCTATGGCTGCTGGAATGATGAAAACCGAAGATGGTCAGCACACTAACTTTTCTTATTACCCTTTGTCAGTCTCCTTGTCAATGAATTAAATCCACTTTTCTATTCCAACAGTCAAGTGTGTCACGGTTGCACAAGTTCAGCAGATGCAAAAGGCAGGAGGTCCACCCACGTCACCAGGAGGATCGGTGATGGATCTTTCGACGTCTAGTGTCACCTCCACAAGCCCACAGGTAATAATTACAAATTGAACTTTCATTGAATGCCGTTAAAAAAATAAATTATTAATTGAAATTGTTTACATTCAGGCCCCACCATATGGATCCAATAGCCTTAGTCCGCAATATGGAGGAGGTCAGACAGTCGGGGGAAGTCCACAGGCAGCAGCTAGTCCTCATCTCACCGCAAGTCCACAAGTACCAAGTCCTCAAGGACAAACCTTAGACCTCAGCGTCAATAGATTACATAGGTAAGTTTCGAAATTTGTTGTTTATTAGTTTAATGCTCCTGCTACCCATTCTTGTTCTAAACGGGATCCTTGCAATTAAGTGCTTTTCCAATTCAACAAATGAATGTTTACTGCTTTCAGTGGGGCGCCTAGTCCTCAGTACTCAACCGCCCATGGAGAAGCTGTCGCAGTTCCTGTCGGCCCACCTTTTCCCGCTCCTAGACCAATCGAGGAGCAAACTGAACCTGTTGATTTCTCAACGGCTAATGAACCTGTTAATTTCAGTGGAGGTCCCGGGATCAGGCCAGTTCCAGGGTTTCCACCACCTGGAGTGCACGCAGCTTACAGTCGAGAAAGCACACCTGACAGTGGGGGTTCCCACTACATGGACGCCTACAGGGATCCTACAGGTGAGTCTTGTACATCAGCTTTCAATTTTTCTTCTAGATCAAAATAAATTCTATCTTCCGATTAAAAAAAATGGATAATTATTAAATTTTTTTATCTTCGCGACGACGAAAAAAATGTGTTGGCTATTTTTCATATTACAAAAAAAGATGTTACTTCAATATTACTTTATGAAAGTTTGACCAAAAGCTGTAGCGATAATACGCGAGCGAATTGTTGCATTGACATGAGAGGATGGTTATCGAGAGGGTGTGGGGTTGCAGTTGGAGGCATCAGAATAGAACAAAGAACTCAGCGTTTCCCTTGAGGGCGTACGCGGTTACAATTGCCGAATAAAAATTCAGCCGAATGGTACACGAGTCCCATAACAGGCATCTATGCCCAGCTCTCTCTCATTTCGTTCATCGTGCCTTGGCATTCCAAACAACGTCTACATTCACATTGTACACCAACACGAGCCGCCCAACCCCATCCTCAACGGTACACGGCCATTGTTAATTATCAATATTTCGCGTACACGGAGCCAGCAAAAGTCCAGCGGTTCGCTCCTGACGCCAGGGAGCAGTTATTGAAATTGAAACATACGAACGCGCTGACATCGTTCAGAATGCCACTTGTATTACCGCCTCTGTGTCAATCGCATATTCACGTGTGCGTCTATGTGAAAGACACACGCTATTTTTATGTCTCGTTAAATTCTTCTTTTTCTGATGATAAAAAAAAAAAAAAAAAAAAAAAAAAATATGGGAAATACATTCCACCACTGGTATTTGTACGATCCTCTTGTTGAAAATTAACAAATGAAGTAGGATCACTGCGCACATGTGTTTCTTTTTATTTACTAGAATTTTAATCTTAACAATTTATAAGTCCTAATTTTTTCAATTAATTTTCAATAAAATTATTCATTGCCTAGTCCTTGTAGGAAGTCATTTCTGCTAGGCTTTAGAATAAACAATTGTGATCAAGACAAAAAATAATTGATTTTATTAATTTCTCCTAAGTTTGGTGAAAAAAAATTAACCTCATTCGATTCCACTCAACTCGATAAAAATATTTCTAGCAGAAGACTGGAAGTTTAAGTATCGAGAAATAATTTTTGATATTGCTCAAAAGATGTTAATACCTAGTTATTGAATACATTTTCCATTATTCAGAAATATCATTCTTTTGTCAAAGGGCTTCAAATTTTTTTAAATTTTATAAAATTTACCATCTTTTTACAATATCAATTTCAATATCACATATAATTTGTTGCCATATGAGAACAAATTCTCTCTTTTTTCAATTTAATTTGCTCTGTTGTATTAACTGTATACCTAACTGTACATTTAAAAAAAATGTATCTTTTTTAAAAAATCGATAATCTGCGACCTCGAAAGTCCCTAGATTCAAAATTTTAGGAAAATCCATTAATTTTTTAAAAATTCGCTCTCTATATTGAAATTGCTGTGCGCACGGGGTAAAAAGTAATCCCCCACAATTTTCTACTATTGCCAAACAGGTTTTTGCTTTTGGAGATTAAAGTTGAGGGTATAAGCTATCTTTTAAGGCCTATTAGAGCAGTTCATCACGTCGCATTAAATTTTTAGAGTGCTTAGAAAAGTGCCAAAAAGTCCGTTTTCGGACACTTTGACACCGTTTTTCTCAAAATTGAGACCTGATGGATAATTTTCGTTAACGGATTCGTAATGTACAGAGAAAATCCTATAATAATCAGCAGCGTTTGCTCTGTGGCAAAATTTTGCCGACCAGTGTCAAATAAATATCAATAATATCAAAAAAAATACTTACTTGAACCAAATAATTTTTATTTCAATTGAATAAATTGTTTTTGAACTAATAACTTCTGTATTTGAAACCACTACCATATTTAATTGATTCAAATACCTAATAATTATTTTATACAAATAAATATTTATTTGATAATAGTCCAGTAACAGATTATTTGAATCATTTTTTTCACTGTAAATAAGTTAAATTATCGTATTTAATGAAAAATAACTTCGATAATTTTGATCCTAAAAAAGAAAAAAATCGCTTGGGTTCCTTTTGAAAAAACTATTTTTTTCGTTATTTTGAAAATATCAATAAACATATTTAAAATAATAAAGACGAAATAAATGATTGAAATTCACAAAATATCGCCCACACAATAGAAAATATAGTAAAAAAATATTCGTTCTAATTTAAAAAGTAAATTTCACAAAGTTTGTTTTCTACGAAGGGTGGTAAATCGAATATTGAGCGCCGACAGGTAATTTGGAGCGAAGATTGGAGAATGGAGAAACAAAAAGATTTTCTTTTTACAGGCTACGGTCCCATGAGTCCGCATCCCGGATATGGAATGACCGGCGTCCAGGCTGAGTATCCAGGGAATACCTACACTCCGTATCCTGCGGCAAGTTACAATTGCGGTGGGACTTATCCCGGCGGTCCTGTGACTTCCGGTTATCAAATTCCAGCAGGATACACTCCTGCCCCTTGTTACAGTATGCCACCGCCACAGCACACGCTTGGTCCACTGGACAAGCCATCAGGCAAGGATGACAGGTACGAGATTTTCCTTTTCTAGGTATTCAACAATTCACGAGTTGTGACTTGTTCGGTTCACTGGAAAAACTTTCCACTACATTAAAGGGAAGGGGAATATATATATATAAGAATGAGAAAAGAGTTTGCTTAATATTTATTTTAAAATGTATGGGATAATGTTTCTATATGGTAAATGTTCCGGTGAACCGGAGAAACATCATTGCGGATAATATAGAGTGCATGTGAGTTGTTTATTCGTTGCTAAAATTAGGAAAAGGATCGCGCGATTCTCACGGTTCGCAATGGAGTCGAAGAGGCGGTTAAGCCGGCGGAGGCGCGCATACCTACCTCCATTTTGTTAATTAAAGTAATTACTCTTCGTAGCGAAAGTGCCAACCTTATTCTAATTGACGTAAAGCTCGGTGGTATGGCAGCAGAGGAAAAGGGATAGAGGGGTACAGAAGAGAGGTCGGAGGTGATGGCTTGGCGAGGGAAGTATAAGGTCGAGGGAGGGTGGGGTATAATCAGTTGCCACCGCACTGGATTATGGGGCGAAACCCGTCGTCCCATCGGGGTTAGGACCCCGGAACACCTCGAAGCCGCTGGAAACTTCATCGAAATTCGATGTCCAAATTCTAAAGTATTCGCCCTCGGAATTTAATCCCCCCTCTCTCTCTCCAAAAAACAGAAAGTCATCGCTCTCCAAATTTTTATTCATTTTCCTTCACTGTACAATAGGGAAATTTTTCTCCTTCCAAAAACGCAGAATTTGTCCAAATTTGATTTAAGTAAATTGACCAACTTACAATAATTTAATTGGAATTGGAGAATGTTTTTTTCATTTTCTAAAATTTTAATTTGTAGTTTGAAAGAGACAAAGATTCGTCTTTCTCGATTTGAAAAAAATGCTACTTCAGACAAAATAAAGGGACGTGGGAACTTATGGCAGTTACTTCAGAGTCAGTCGATAGCAATACTTCAAGATTATTAATGGCCCCGGCCAATATAAGAATCTAATATAGCAACTTTCGCGATCCAAGCGAATTACAGTCTCTCTGGGCGTTTATCGGATGGCCTGAAGTAGTCGAACCAGCTTTTGATATCGTAATTTATTTCCCTCCGATCGAACGGATAAAGAAAGGGGTTTATTCAATACTCACATAAGAGTCCATTATTTTATTTTTTTGCTGAATTAAGAAATCTCGAGATTGCATCTACTGTCAGTTTTTCACTTTCTGTTGAAACTGATGATCAATTATACTTTTGAAAGAAGCACGTTCTCAAATCGTAGAATATATTGTTATATGTGATGATGGGGTAAAAGCTAAGAGAAGGTATATAATCCACAGAATCTAAGCGCGATGGTAAACAGTGAGATGCACCGAAAGCTGAGATTGAAAAGATCAAAGTTTAAGTGGCTTCAGAGGGAATGGTGAAAACGGTTAGACGGTTTGAAACATTGAGTTGAGAAGAAGAGGTTGGTACGCACAGCGTGATTGCACTCAAGTCCCTGAGCTGGTGGTTGGGGTTTCCGGCAATATCGTGCCCACTCAAGGGTCATCGAGGTTTCGGGCTTTCTCATAGCCTCGATTCTCCTATCTACGAGACCTGCGAGAAGTAGGAGTTAGTAGTCTGCAAGCTAACCACGTATCCTCCTTCAGCTACCACTACCTCTTCCTCCTATCCTGCCTACGCCCCTTGTCCCGTATTTCAACATTTTTCATATTGTCTCGCGCGCCGCCGCCACCGCCGCTACTTTGCCGATTTTTATTTATTTTTTTTTAACCCACCTTTTAAGGTTTCTCTCCAATAAAACTTTGTTGACTAGTGTCGTATATTTCTGTCAAACTAGGGGAGAAAGTAAGAATTGGTACTGCTGCACGTAGAAAACCAGCAGGGTTGGGTAGCGAGAGATTGAAAGGACTCGAACGTCACTTTTTCTAAAAATGTTACTAGTAATTTTAAAAAAATAAGCTTTTGGAGAGAAACATCAAATTTTTTTTATCATATTCACTAATAAACTGAAATCACTTTGAGACTTGATTATTTTTGTATGAATGTTTGAATGAACTAAATGAGTAGATGAACGCGAAAAAGTGGATGGACAATGAGCTCAGAAGGGTTTTCTCTTCATTGTTAATGTGTTCGATACAGTATGAATATAAGGAGGCAATCATTGAATTTTGCACCTCGACCCGCCCCTCGTGGTCGCGATGGCAAGGAGCTGATTCAGTGTCCCACGTCGTCCTGTGATGGCATGGGTCATATCTCGGGAAACTACGCTACCCACAGAAGGCAAGGCATTCATTTTGACGTCAACCTTGACATTGACACGCACGCACACACGCATAATTTTAATACATTTTCAGTTATGAATAAAAAAAAATAGTCGACACTAAAAACAATTTTCAGTTCTACATTTCTCCATCATCCTACACTTTTCTCTTTTAAATTACATTATTTTAAATTATCAGTAAATAGAATTAAAATTAGCGTCGTTCAAACCGTTCGGACCAAAATTGAGAAAAATACGCGCGCTAATGGAAAATAAGGCTGCTTCCACAATAGTTAAATCGCATCGTTTTGAAGACGATTTTTTAGAATGAGACGATGCGCACGCATCCATTACCAACTGTCAACAAAAAATTTATTTTACGTGTTATACTGTTCCTATAATTTCAGCTTGTTAATATTATTAAAATTATAAAAAAATTTGTTTTATTAAAAAAAAAAAAACTTTATATCCTCCCAGGTAAAATGTTTTATAATTTCAATATTATTAAGCTGAAATTGTTTTTTTGTCGACAGTTGGCAACGGATGCGCGCGCATTGTCGATGCGATTTAGCTATTGTAGAAACAGCCTAAAAGGGTCCCAGCAAACACTGTTATATATCTGTTCTAGAACTGTTACAAATTTCTTGAGAACATGTTCTGTAACTGGTTAAGAACGTGTGAGTCACTGGTTACGCAAAACGTCGTACTCAGCAGGTATGTTCAGATATGTAACAAATCTAGAACGCGGTTACAAAGTCATTTGTAACAGTTCTAGAACTGTGTTGTAACAACTATGAAAAGAGGAATGTAACCAGTAAGGAACAGAGTTCTGTATTTGTTACGTAACTAAATTACGTAACAAGGATAAAAAAATATTATATATGTGTTACGTAAACGTATCACAGTGTAGGAACAAAAATCTATATTTGTGACATAACATTGTTTCAGTATGAATATGTATCATAGTTCTTTAAATGAGAAGAACAGTATAATGTAACAACGATCTAGTGTTGTTATACATGTTGTCCCGAAATTTCCAAGACATTTGGGTATTTTGTAACGATCTTATTTTTGAGAAAAAGAAACTTAAATGAAAGATTCTTCAGAATAACAAAATCAAATTGCATATTTTAACATATTTTGCTATTCTGAACAAATTTTTAAATTTTTTGTCAAAAAGGCTATTATTACGCGATATCCAGACATCCCTAAAATTTTAGGACACCCTGTACTATTGTGGTGCATAATAAAGTTGTTATTAGGTTATATAATTTATATTTAACACATTCTTATGTCATTAAAAAATTAAATGTAAATGTTTATATCGAGTTAATTTGATTTGACATACTGCTTTTTTCTTACAAATGTATGCACAAATGCTTTATGCTTGTTAATATAATAGAATTTTATTACTATTGTTACTCACAAAGTTAATATTCAAATAACTATATATCAAATACACAAAACATGTCTTATTATGAAATTAATAATTTTTTTTATTACAAATTTACATCAGGGCGAAATATATATGTGACACGGACAGTTAAAAGGGACTTACGATCCGAAAAAAAGATTTCGAGAAAAACGACTTTGAAGTTTAGCAAGTTGGTTTTGATGCTTGTGAACGTTTTAATGAATTAAAACTTGTTACTCGGAGGTTTTGGGGGTCGCTGATGACGATTATGATGTTATTTTTTGAAAATTCAAAATGGCGGATTCAATATGGCGGATGACTTTTTTAAAAATTGATCAGATTCGCTTGAAATTCGTCACTCGGGGATTTTCGGGGTCGCTGATTACGAATATGGTGTTAGTTTTTAAAAATTTTAAATGGCGGATCCAATATGGGGGAAGACTTTTTTAAAAATTGATCTGATTCGCTTGAAATTCGTTACTCGGGGGTTTTTGGGGTCAGTGATTACGAATATGATGTTAGTTTTTAAAAATTCAAAATGGCGGATCCAATATGGCGGATGACTTTTTTAAAAATTGATCGGATTTGCTTGAAAATCGTTACTCAGGGGTTTTTGGGGTCGCTGATTACAAATATGATGTTAGTTTTTAAAAATTTTAAATGGCGGATCCAATATGGAGGACAACATTTAAAATTTGTTCGAATTTGTGTAAAAGTCAAAAATTTCGTTGGATCTGCCATTTTGAATTTTTAAAAACTAACATCGGATTCGTAATCAGCGACCCCAAAAACCCCCGAGTAACGAATTTCAAGCGAATCAGATCAATTTTTAAAAACGTCATCCGCCATATTGGATCCGCCATTTTGAACTTTTAAAAACTAACATCGTATTCGTAATCAGCGAGCCCAAAAACCCCCGAGTAACGAATTTCAAGCGAATCCGATCAATTTTTAAAAAAGCCATCCGCCATACTGAATCCGCCATTTTGAATTTTCAAAAACTAACAGCGGATTCGTAATCAGCGACCCCGAAAACCTCTGAGTAACGAGTTTCAAGCGAATTTGACTAATTTTAGAAAAGTTTGTCAAATTTGATTTTGTTGTACTTTTTTTTGTCAAGGTACCTAACTTTGAAGTGAAATTGTTAAAAAACTAATGCAGCTAGAAAGCTGCGGTTTAATGCGTTGGAAAGAGCGGCTTATTTACTATAAGAATCAATAAAAAAATGAAAATCGATTTTTTCGGACCGTAGGTCTCTTTTAACTGTCTGTGTCACATATATTTACAAGTATAAAATATGCATCACACATTCAACATCAAATTAATTATTTACGTGCAGAAGTGGAATAACAATGAAGCTATTATTTTGATTAATTTTGAGTCACTTTCTTTTAATGGCATTAACATGAATTATTTGGTTCGGAGAAAGTGTTTCAGAATTTTCAATGTAAATTAATAGAAAAAGAAAAAACCTAAGATAAGCAACTACTATCTTGGATATAAAACCACATATACGGCACTGTCAAATTTAAACTGTTCAAATTTAACTTTATATTTAAGACAAAGGACAGCTACATAACATTGTTCCGACACAGTTCTAGAACTACGTTGGAACATCACTTGCAGATTATTTGTGACTAACGTGTTACAGAAATGTTACGTAACATTGTTACAGAATTGTTCCGAATTGTAGTAACAAATGTCTTCCAGAACTTAACAGCAACAGAATTTCAGAACAGCTACATAACATTGTTCTGGCACAGTTCTAGAACTACGTTAGAACGTCAGTTACAGGTCACTTGTGACTATTGTGTTATAGAACTGTGACGTAACATAGTTACAGAATTGTTCCATTTTGTAATAACAAATGTTTTCTAGAACTTAACTGCAACAAAATTTCAGAACAGATACATAACATTCTTCTAGCACAGTTCTAGAACTACCTTGGAACGTCAGTTACAGATCATTTGTGACTTTCGTGTTATAGACATGTTACATAACATTGTTATAGAACTGTGACGTTATCATAATATAGAACAGTTCTGTCACTCTTTTGTAACAACTGTTCTGTAAAACTGTGACATCACTGTTATAGAACATTTATAGAACGTGTTTGCTGGGGTGTAATTTTTTTATTTTCCTATATCGACTATCAACGTGCAAATTTTTCTCAACTTAGGCACCATAAGACGATAATATCACCAATTTGATATCACTATTTCTTTTTCCTATTTCACATTTTTTAACATACACTGAGAACATGAATTTTCATATGATTTATTAATTTTTTGCATTGCTACGAATCAAAAATAAAATTTTCATGCGCTTACACTCAACAAAATAGGAACATAATCGAGATTCAAAAGCGATTTGTCAATGCATTAATGAGTATTGTTGGTCCGTGGCGTAGTGGCTTTTTAAGTGTTTTGCAAACAATACAGCCGAAACAAAAAAAAAACAAAATTGTATACAGAATGTTACGTAAATATTCATTACTTAACAAGATTTAACAACAGAAATATTAACTTAAAGTTACAATATTGATAATAATTAATATAATAAAATTTTTATTTTATTATTAAAACAATAATAATCGACGAGACACTCTGTATACTTGCGCATACGTACCAGCATATATATGCATATATTTTAAATTAAACCTTTTTTTCATTTACTATTCCCGTTTCTCTGTCTCTATTTGTGTATATTTAACAATCGTAACGATTAATTGTATCAGATGTGTAGATAAGTTTCGTGTTGAATGACATTTCGTCTCCTTCCCATTAGACCCGACCCCTAAGAAAAGGGACGACAAAATCATAAATCAAAATGTCACCATCAACTTACTGAGAACTTTTTTAAGTCAAATCTCGAAAGTTTTTTGTATTTTTAATTTTGTATATAAAAAAAAGTAACTTGTGAAATTATATTTCGTCAGATGCTTGAATATTTCACAAAGTTGAGAACACTGTGCGCATGCATGCAAAGAGTGGGGATAGAGGGCAAAGAGTGGTAGTAGCGTGTTATCCCCACCCATTTCAAGCAGCGCACGCTGGGTTCTCAACTTGGAAATCAAAAATCAATTAAGTGACTCACAATCAGTATTTTACTGACTGAAAGCATGCGGAATAAAACATAACAATCAAATGGTAAATAATTTATTTACTATAATTGAGTGAGGAGATTAAAACAAATTTAAAAGCAATAGTTTTATTTAAATTTTTGAAATAAAATACTTTTTTGTTTAATTGTAAAATTTTTAATTTCTTGTTTGAAAAGATGAAAATTTGTCGAGATTTGAATAAAATTGTTCCTCAGAACCGTGTAGTTTCATTAATAAATATAGACGAATTCCTGCCGATGTACTCGAAACACTTTGCCAGCCTCGAGTGGGCAGCATTGTAGCGAACTGTTGTCATTGACCATGTCATAACAGACTGAAGATGATCGATTCTTCAGCTTATCGATGTCAAATTGCTATCGATCCTATTATATATGCATTTAAAAAAAATTGACAATTGGCGATAGTTTCACTGGGGTCAGGTGTGAGTGTGTGTTCCCTGCTCTCCCATTCAGTAGTCTTAGTAAAACATTAATTTTCACGTTCAAATTTACGATATCATCTTTATAAAGCGACGCCTCACGAGTGATCCAAATGGAACACGACGTTGCCACATTTCACGTGTCCTCATCATCATCATCGTCATCAACGTCATTAAATGTATCCATGACTCCGTGTGCGATTCGTTTGAAAATTAGTTATAAAGCAGGTGACGCGATTATATTTTTATATTATGTAAATGTTTCGATCACTGGCAACGTCGCGAGATGTGCATGTGAATATTGTCATTTTTGAACGTTCGTGAGGTGTGTGTTCGCTTCTTTATATCCATGATGATGAATGCGCTGACGTGTCTGTAAAATAATGAGAATATTGTATTATTGATAAAAGAGAAATGAAATTTTCTTCAATACTCAGCGTGTTTTGCTCGTCATGGTTCTTTGTCATGCTCATTTACTTGATAGATCTGGTTCATCTTTCCTTTTCAGCCTCTCTGGATGTCCGCGAGCCGATCGATCTCAAATTCAAGCACATTCACAAGAACTCAAATGTCCAACACCGGGTTGCGATGGTTCAGGTCACGTTACTGGAAATTACTCGTCCCACAGAAGTCTATCGGGATGTCCGAGAGCGAATAAACCGAAGAGCAAACCTCGAGATGGCCAAGATTCCGAACCATTGAGGTCAGTATTTATAATTTTGATATGAGTATATTATTAAGCATTAAGGAGTCTTTGAAATTTCTTTCACCAATTAGTGCGGCAAAAGTAAAAAAAAATTCTATTACTGATAAAATTAGAAATTACGTTACTTTTTGTGCTAATAGTGTTAGATTTGTTCTAAAAATGAAATTTGTGTATTTTATTTCAACTTGGACTCAAATTGAGTTTAGAATTTTTTCGCCTGTTTGTCTAAACTATAACGGTGTGAGGACTAAAAGCCTCCTTAAAGTGAAAGGGGAATTTCTGATCCTATGCTAACCCGAGTTAGGGTAAAGACACTGACTAATATCTGGCGGTTTCCGCTCATTTCACGCTTTCTCTCTATGGATTCTCTCTATATTTGTGTGTATGATGCTGTGGAATAGCAGATGTCCTATCCCAGGGTGTGACGGTTCTGGTCATGCAACCGGAAAATTTTTGTCTCATCGCAGGTAATGTCAAGCCCCACATCAATATTCCGTTTTATTTTGGCACAGTTCCATAAATTCCAGAACCTCACCAAATGTAACAAAAATTTCCCTACCACAAATATTTTTTTTCCACTTTATCTCTTTATTTTCTTTTCAGTTTCTGTTTTTAAATAGTTGTGGGAGCAACTTTGAAAGTATTTATAATTTAATAAAAATAAATATTGTTCCCCAGAAGCATGCAATAACATAAATAAATCGCTGTTGTAGTGCATCAGGTTGTCCGATTGCAAATCGACAGAAGTTAAGAGTCTTGGAATCTGGAGGAAGTGTCGAGCAACATAAAGCAGTGGTAGCAGCGCCAGCAATGAAATTCGAAGGGGTGAATTGTCCCACTCCAGGGTGCGATGGCATTGGTCACATAAACGGCTCCTTTTCGACGCACAGATCACTCTCAGGATGTCCCATTGCCGGACATGCCGTGAAAAAGCCCAAATTCGAGGACATGGCCATGTACAGCAAAGGGATCACCGGTGAGGATGTAGTAACAATAATGACCTCTTGTACTCTTAACCATTGACATTTATCACCCGTCATCGAGACGAACATTCCAAAAATTCATTCGAAATCTTACTCCAACTCTAAAAAATTTTATCCAGTGTTTTTTTTCACTTTATTATTTATTGATCACTTTTTTCGATAACAATTTTTTGAAATTTCAATAATTATTTAAATTTTAATACATTTTTTCTTAATATTTCGCGTTTTCATATAAATGTTGGAAAATATTTTTGATACTTAAATTTAAAGAAATGTTGAGTGATTTCGAGCCCTCGATCGGGATAATGGTCGTTGGTTTATCAGCACGAGGTAGAGAAAGGTCGAAGTTTTGTTATTTTTTTGGTAGAAAGCAGCTTTTATTTTTTTCTGCTTCCTCCCTTTACGTCCAATCCATAGTGGTGCATGTGAAAAACGTCTTGCACAAATGATAAGAGGAAAAAAGAGAGTCTAATGAAGATAAAAATGCAAAAGAAATTTTTTATCAGACTCACTGAAACACTGGACGAATTGGGCAATTTTGACAATGAGAATCAATTTGTGCATACTCAACCTTGTTCTTGACCTTGTGCTATGCCATGCTCTGCACTATGCTCTCCACGCAATGATGTGCTGTCATACCAATGAGAATTACCTCTCCCTGTTTCCTTTCTTCTATATATTTTATGTATCCTCCTACCATCACATTTCTGTACCAAATTTCTTTTAAGTTTTCACTTCTTCTTTTATGATTCAGGTGTGTTTGAAGGAAAATAAATAATTTTGTTTATTTTCAACTTTTAATTTAATTATAATTTTCTATTTCAAACTTTAAGTTGCTTGTTTTATCACTATTTTTCGTTCTTTATAAATATTTAATTACATGTTACAAATATTTGGGTTACTTACAATTATTAAGTAAAAATCAAAGCACCTGAACCATGAAGATTCTGTTTTTTTGTTGTTGTTATTCTCGGCTTAACGTCGTTTCAGCTCGTTATTTTTTAATGCTAAGGTTGAGAACACTGTGCGCGCGCATGCAAAGAGTGGGGATAGAGGTTAAATGAGTGGTAGTAGCACGTCATCCCCACTCATTTCGTGCAGCGCGCGCATTGTTCTCAACTTGGAAATCGAAAGTCAACTGAGTTGAATAACGTTAGTCTGGACTCTATTTATTATTCTTCTGCCTTTCTTTCTTCTCTCGCGTATACCACTTCCTCATAATATTAAAAAAAAATATAAACGTAATCGAGCAGACGCCATTATGATGAAAATAATATATTCTGATTTATTCTGGGATCACGATCAGCTCCTTTCCTGTCATTGAGCTTTGAGGAGAACTTTTACTGTTGAAGGTAAGGGACTGACGTACTCGCCACTTGTTTATGTGTCTTTCGGTGTTACATACAGATTCCACACACGAGTGTTTTTTATTACTTAAAACTGCTTCCAAGTGTTGGGTATTATTGGATTAAATTAGTCATTCATTGAAAATTATTTTCACGCCATTATTGTCTGTCACGGAAACCAACATTTGGAAAAATTCCTCCATTTTTCTTCTTCTGGTATGATGGCACCTCACGCTCTCTTTCCCAGTCTCCTTGAAAATTCCCACCGCAATTTCTTTTTTTATTCTACATCATTTTCAATTTAATTATATATTGAAGAATAAAAATACAATTATATGTACGTAATAAAATTCGTGATTTGTTTTTACATTTTTGTTAAATTAAGTTAAAATTTGATTTTTTCTCGTTTCAAGTGTCAGTAAATTTGAAAATGATGAAAAATAGTAATTTTTATTTGCTTTGTTTTAAAAATAAAATAAAATTTTGCAGTGGGAATTAAAAACAAACCATTCACCATTTCTGCTAGCTGTAAATATATATTTTTTCGCCTTCGCTCGCACACTTGTTCTCAAACAATTATCATCTCGCGATTTTTTGGGATTTTTTTTTTTTAAAGAAATTAGTATTTATTTTGAAACTGAAGATTAATTTGCTGCGCACAAAAAAGTAGAGCTCTAGTAACACAGGTTCATTAAAAATCGAATTAGACATTTTTATTTAAAAACCAATATCACTTATAAAAATTTTTGTCAAAAAACATCATTCAAGTGAAAAAAAAATTGTCCAAAGAAATAAAAATGTCCAATTTGTTGTCAATTTATCATTATTTACTGTTTGTGCGATGTTCAAAATTGAGTACAGAATAATCAAATGTAGGGGTTTTTGACTTTCTTTAGATATTAATTATTTAAATTTATACTTTTGATATTATTTATTATAAATGAGAATATGTAGAATAGTTGCTAAAATAATGCTTTAATCGCACAAAAAGTGACTAATGAATTGGAAATTAAGAACACTGACCTTAAAGAGTGTTAAAGGCATAATCTCTGAATTTTCTTCAGTTTCACATTTTAATATTGAACGTTACATTTTTTTGAAATAATTTTGATTTGATTAATTTGAAAAATTGTTTTCTTAAGATGAAAACTATGAATAAATGGCACATAAGTGACTCAAGTAGTATACGAAAAAAGGGGGGACTTTATTGCAAACTGAACTCAGAGAAATTATGACCTAGAACCAAAGAAATAAAAAGGAACAGATAAGTGGGCAATAGAGTCTTTTTTCCTCTTGTCATTCTTTATTTTTTATTTTTTTTTTGTGAACTTGATTTGAGGAAAGAGACAAAATTGGCCATGACAAGTGGACGTTTTGAGGAATTAGCATCAGCTAGATGTTAAATCTGAGCTTGTAACCCATAGGGATGGATGCCGGTGGTCCGGGTCAGGGTGGTGCGATGGGTGCTGGTCAATTGAACACAAGCGGTAGCGTAGTCGTAGGGGTTCCGGGTGAGGATATGTACACACTGGAGGCAGAGATAACAGAGCTCCAGAGAGAGAATGCCCGTGTCGAGTCCCAAGTTTTGCGCCTGCGCTCTGATATTACCGCTATGGAAAATCAACTGAAGCACGGTGACAAGGTGAGTTGCTCGGTCGATAAAAGACCATCTGCTGGTTATAGAAATATTTTTAATACCAATCACCAATCTGTGATCCTCTGCAAAAAGTCAGGAGGATATTGATTGTGTTACCTTCAATACATAATTTAGATTTCACTGAAATTTGTATACCTCTCTCTTTTTTCAGGAGTCCTCGATAATATCGCAACGCAATAATAATCTCAACGACTACTATCAGTCACTGCGGGAGAACATGATAACTCTCCTGGAACACGTTCGAATTCCGAATACTCCGAGTGGACCGCCAGAGAAGATGGGACATGAACATTTTGACAGTTACCTCACAAAATTGCAGACCTTGTGTACCGCCGATGGGTATTGTGCCGACGATTCGCAACGGCCGATATACGAAACAGTCAAGACTGCGCTTCAAGACTTTACGGTACTACCAACGCCTATCTGAGAGCATCATCCTTAGAGTTTATCAAAATACTAATAGTCGAACGATGAGACCGATTTCTTCATCAAAATTCAGTGGATTGTTTGAAAATTTGTTCCTAGAAATGATAAATAACAATTTACCGACTGTGAGTAAGAAATAATGATTGATGATGTTGTTATTGAGAATTTCAAGAGGTCGCTACTTAACCAAAATCAGTATTAAGAATTTTGTTTTAAAAATATGTAATTTTAAATTCAATTTATCAGCAAGGATCGTAAACGATTGAGAAAGGAGAAACTGTTGATGGATTGTCATTGACGACTTTTATTTCTCTTGTAAATACGCATTTGATATAGTGCCACATAAGTAAACCGGCTATACGAAATATTGTAAATATATTAGGAGAGATAAGGCATTTATATAATTATTCAAAATGTTATACGGTTAGTCAATAAGTTGTGTAAAGAAAAGATTTAAACATTAGCTGTATATCAGTCCTCGCTGCATTGGAAATTATTGTGTATAATTAAATTATTGCTGCGGTTGCTCGTATAAAACTATGCTTATCTTATCTCATCTAATACAGCAACCGCTTTTACTACCTATCGCTATCGCTATATCATAAGTCTTAACTATCGATACAATCCCTTTTATATTCAGCCCTACAAAATGTTTACTGTTACAATTATTACTTTCTCTGAGATTATTATTGAACTGCAAAAAATTATATTGTCAATCAAAGGAATACCTCTCAATCACCATTTACTTAGGTAATTAGAAAATGAAGTAAAAAAATAAAAATTAGTAAAATTTTTTAATTAATTTCAATTAATTAAATTTTTTTACTAATTCGGATTAAAAAAAACATTTTCTAATTATAAAATGTTTCTTTGTTGTTTGCAAAACATAAATTTGAAGTTGGCCAATTTTTCATCCCCTTCCGTTAGATTCTTACTTAAAATATACATAAATTGTTTAAAAAATTTTAAATGGAAAAATGTTTATAACTAATCATCCTTGAAGTTGAAAAATTTCTAAAAAAAAAATCAAAAAATTAAATTTCAAGTTCAATGATAATTGTTGAATTTATATATGCTTTTTACTTGTTTTCGGTCTCGTCTTTTGTTGCGTGCCTTATAAATTCTGATTATAATCTTCAGATTGCATTTATCGAAGAAATGATCGGAGTAACTCATCTGCGTGATACTTTACTGTCAATATATTCTTTAATCAAAATACTCACAATACCGAAATATGGCAAAAAAATGGCACGAGTGAAAGTTTCGGATTATGCTTTTTAAAAATTAAAAATGTTATCAACTTACAGCTAAAGACTGTTAAGTTAGTGTTTCCAATTTTCAAAGATTCTGAAATACACCGCAAAAAAATGTTCTCATTAAAAGAAGATTCCTCTTTCTTTACAGCAACTTTTCTTCTTATATATGGACAATAAATTATTCCTGTCTAATTGAGAGGATTTTCCTCTATCTCCATTTTTTTCAAATGTTTTTTATAAACAGGTTAAAAGTTCGCGTAAAAACAAAAAATTAATTAAGAAAAAATTTTTTTATCAACAAATTTTGCCATTTAGAGAGGAATAATTTAAATTTTAAAAATAAATCTTAAATCCACAAGAAGAATTTCAATCAAAGATGAATGATTAAAAGTTATATATCTTTTAATCAGAATATTCTCAAATAAAGAAAAGAAAATCGTCTTTTATTAGATGAATATTCATAAATTGAAAATAAAATGTAAAATTAATTTTTGAACGGAATATTTTTATCATTTTGAGATTTTATGTTTTTTCGGTGTATCATTTTCCAGACGAAAGTCGCAGATATATCTTAGTTTTTTAAGAGATAGAAATTGATGTTATTTAAGTTCCGAAACTTTCACCACAGGTGTCAATTTAGCTATATATAATATGCGATACAAAATGCTCATTTTTTAAGTGCAATGTATTTAAAAATAATTCCCTCCAAATTTGTTGCAGCTGATATTTTCTTGAAAGGCTCACTTCAATCCTGGTGATATGTATAGTTATTTGTAAGCACTCGTGTATATTTTAATTGTATCGCGTTAATTTTGTATATACTTTTTCTACGTGAGTTAAATATCAAGAAGGTAGTTTGCTGAACTATGCAATGCAACTTTTTAGCAATTCGTTTTATCAGATATTGTGTTATGTCGTTGAAAGCGCAGATTTGCAAGAATTTATTTACGTGACGCACGCGTATATTTGTTAAACGTCGAAAGACATATGGGCGCTTCGAGGATAGACATAGTAAATTTCCATTTTCTCTTTATGTTTTTTAATTTATTATTACTTCAAGTAGCATTTAAATTTCGCGCCATTCCTTATTCTTCAATTTTCATTTAGTTGGTACTTCTGATATGATTGAAAATTAACAAGGGGAATTCCTGAAGTAGACATTTTTTAAAAAGAAAATTTAATTTTTCTAGTAAAAAAATATTTTTATCATTATTTTAATATTTGAGAATAAATTTGAAGATTGCAAAATTTCTTTTCGACACTTGCATATCAATTTTATAACTAATCTCCTCTTCATCGAAGTTCTTCTGTCATGATCGAATCCTCAAATTTCAAAATGAAATTTAAGATCACTCTCAAAGAAAAATCTTGTAAATATACACTGATATATTCGATAAATTGTACGCCTGTCTAAAGACCCTCAAACTTCAAAGTTATACGCTCTTTAATGGTAAAGAATACAGTGTTGTAACTAGTCACTAAATGAAAAAAGGAGGCATGAATAAATGTTAATTATACTTTAAAAAAGAACAGTGAGAATGTGACGACTGATTAGGTGAAAATGAAGACTCGCGAGTTATAAACATATGCTCGCGGCTAGAACTTAAGAAATCCAATTAATGAATTTTTAATCATTGCTGGTGTTCGTGTACATTCCAAAGTGAACTCGATAATGAGTCAAAAGTATGAACGTTAAATTATTTCATCCCTTGTGTTCGGTTGAAATTTAACAAAATTGGTACGTGCAGCATCAAAAGAACAAGAAAGAAAATTTAAAGTTTTAAATTGAAAAATTTCACAATTTATTGAAGTTAAGTTTTTTTTCTATATATATAGTCTTCTCTATGTTTCTTTTTTTGAGATATACGTTATTTCGTTGTACAGAAGTAAAAAGAAGAATACGTATGCGATTACATTTCGACGCAAGTACAACGAGGAGATAATTAATGTTAATTACAATGTGACGACAAATACGAAGTCTGGTGCTCGCGATATATACGAAATTAAAAAACCGTGATACTGTTGGCCCATTACTTCGTGAATTAAAAAACTGATTTTTACCGCAGCTGTTAGAAAGTGATAATGTACATAAAAGTAGAAGAATGAGAATTGATTATTTACCTGAATGGGATGCAAGAAGATAAAGTTATCTTAAATACATTTTAACCAGCACCGTGTAGTGAGAGAATTAATATACTAGAGATAGATATAGTCGAACAATTACGATTACTCTCGAAATCATTGCAATTCTTATTATTGTGATTCAAACTTGATTAATTGAACGATTATAATTTTATAATTATAACTATATTATTATTACGATTGTCAATAATATTATTAATGATCATTATCCTTTATTGTGATTCTTATGATTTGTTATTATATATTAAAACTTATTATTATTATTATTATTATGTATTATAAAAAGTTACGATTATTACTGTCGTCGTTGGATCACTTGCAGAAATTGATAGAGTAGAAGAGAAGACGTAAGTCCTCTCTTCAACCTATCGCCATTGCCGGACATTGATTTTCTATTTACTCTTGTCATTATTAGTAATAATTCGTTATACTTTTGTCAATACTTTTATTATTATATTATTACTATTATTATTATTATTGTTGTCTTTGATAAAGTTCTATACGATTTATAAGTTTCAGCAATATGCTTTAAAGCAAGCATAAATGTTACTCCGATTGAATAAAGGGTATTTATCGAAAATTTGTCATTTTATATTTCATTTTCATAACAAACAATAATTTTTATTATAACCAAATAACACATGTTGCCACAATATAACATGGCAATATTGGTTCAATATTGTGTTAATGTATTGTGCCACTTCTATAAGTAATCACTTCAAGTGTTTTGAATGAATTTTTAATTTTCAAAAATTCAAAATTTTTCAATTTTTTTTTTAATCTCAGGCTTAATTTTTATCTATTGAAATAGTATACAAAATTTTAGAGCGATCCATTAAGATTTATTCGAGTAATCGAAAAAACAAAAATTTTTCAAAAAAGAGGAGACAAAAGCCTGAAGGTTTTATGCTTTTGCTTTAGCTTCAACCCCCTAAACATTCAATTTATTATTATTTTTAATAAATTAAAAAAATTTATAACTTTTTTATTTTAGTTTCTACTGAAAAGTGTCAAGGGGAAAAAGTGTTTGACTTTGTGAGTATTTTATGGGAAAAATATACCTATAAAAATTTTTTTTTGAATTTCAAAATTCTCAAAAACTCAAAATTTTTTGAATTTTTTTTTTTTTTTTGGAGACTCAAGCTTTATTTTTATCTGTTGAAATACAAAGTACAAAGTTACAAAGTTTCAGATTGATTCATTAAGATTTATTCGAGTAATCGAAAAAACAAAAAATTGTTTAAAAAAGAGGAGAGACTAAAGGTTTAGGCTTTAGCTTCAACCCCCTAAACATTGAATTTATTATTATTTTTAATAAATTAAAAAAATTTATAACTTTTTTATTTTAGTTTCTATTGAAAAGTGTCAAAGGAAAAAAGTGTTTAATTTTGTGAGTATTTTATGTGAAAAATATAGAAAAAATTTTATTTTTCAAAATTCAAGATGTTGAATTTTTTTGAGACTCAAAAAATTCATAACTTTTTTGTTTTAGCCTCTATTGGAAAATGATATAGGAAAAAAGTGTTTCATTTTGCGAGTATTTTTTGGGAAAATTATAAAAAAAATTTTTTTGAATTTCAAAATTCTCAAAAACTCAAAATTTTGAGAAATTTTTGAATTTTTTTTTTTTAAACTTAAGCTTTATTTTTATCTGTTGAAAAAGTATACAAAAAATTTGCTTAGCATTGCAATGCGTCGCGTCTGCATTTACCTTGCGTCGAGCCCATTGTGGAACCAGCCTATAATGTGAAGCGAGCCGAAATTTTTGTTTCTCAATACGAGAATGTCAATTGAACGTAGTCATTTCTCGATCGTTGCATGGCCGTTTCCGAATTGGGATTTTTAGCGCGCACTTTTGATAAAGTGTGTAGTCCGGAAGTATGCAGTGTCCTTGTTTTCAGTCCGAAAAAAGACACTGCTTACTTCCGTATACACTTTGTCAAAAGTGCGATAAAAATCCCAATTCGAAAACGGCCCTTCGACGAGCAACCACAACTCAAGTTGCTTCTACAATAAGCTCATAGTACGTGAACGCGAACATGAACGTACACTGTAAAAAGACTTAATGGAATTTTACCACTTTGAAAGTGGGAAAGATTATTACCCACTATCAGAACGGCACCTTTACTGTCGATGGGAATAAAATTTTTAGGTTATGTAATTTTCCAGACGAGATGGGAAAATTGCCACGAACTGTACAGTTACACTTTCTGGTATTTTAAACGCAGGAGAAAGTAAATATACAGACATCAGTACTTTTCCGAAATTTTATAAAATATTAAATTTTTATGTTTAGAAAAAAATATGGGAATAATTTATACTTTTTATGCGATTACGATGAAGGTATTTACTTTTAAGTTATTAATATTCGCTAAAGAATTTTATAAAATAAAGAAAAAATAATTATAAACACAATTAGACTCTATATTTTATTCCTATATTTTTGCACAAGAAACATTAACATTTTTGTTTTTCATATTCAAGTTTAATTTAAATTATGAACAAAAACTTTTATGAATTGTCCTATGTAAGGATAAAATAACTCGTGTCGTAAAATTTTACCATTTTTACGTCATCTTTACAATCAAAAAGACAATTGTCGATGAATGCCGACTGCTGCCAGGCATTAACGATTGCACACGGCGCATAAATCGTAAATGTGTGCGTATATTATGAATTTCAAAATTTGGGAATTTTCCAAAAATTGTTAATATTACTTTTAAAAAATGGTAATTTTACACGCTAATGTATTTTTCTAAAGAAACGGGAATATTACCAACACTTGTGATTATACTACATTAAAAACAGGAAAAATACTACAGTGTGGAATTGTCATTTTTGCTTTAGTAAGGTTACGTTCGCCAATGGTAATTTTCCCATCTAGTGCAGTTTCACAGCCTTCAGTCATTTCGTCCTTTTGAAAGTGGGTAACATTATTACCCACTTTAAAAGTAGGAATTTCGCCGAGGAATGGAAAATCCCAATATTCGAAATAGTAAAATTACCAAATATTGTATTTTCCATTTTGGACCCTGTATTATTTCTGCATTTAATATAGTATTTGTGCCATGGATTCTTAAAAGTAAAATTCCTATCTTTGGGAAAATTCTGTTTGGACTTTTTACAGTATACTGAGTCTGGAATGGGCACGTTACACGATACGTTATAACGTACCCATTCTGGACTCAGCTATAGGGAGAGTCCAGAATAAGTGGTTTCTGAACGTCGACGTATCATTCTGTCTTTGTCTCTCCCATTGATGTCCCATAAGACAGACGCGTTGCTATCAACGCGTCGACCGTCGACGTTCAGAAACCCGTATTCTGGACTCTCCTATAAAGTCGACCATAAAAGATGAACATAAAAGTATGGGTTATTATAAATTAAGCGATGGTATTTTCTAATACTTTTTAATGAAATATTTCTTACCGGGATATACTTCCAATGTACGAAGTTAGTTCACATTCACGTCCATCTTGAATAACTAATAAATTTTTTTAATATTTATCAAAATTGTTATAGTAACAGGAAATAAATTAGAAAATGTTCAACATTTTATTTTTTAAATATATATTTCATATATACTATACACGTAATATATTATAGAAATATTTACAGTAATAAATAAAAATAATTAAGTCGATCGCATGAGCGAGAATTAGTGAATGATAGTCAGTCAGAGCAAAAACCATTGATCTGAATTTGTGAGGTAAGAACGATGGTTTATCTGAAAGGCAATACGAATTATTTAAATTTTCTTTATCAGAAATAAATTCTTTTAATTATGGTAACAAACAAAATTATTATTGAAATGTAATTTTTAAATATACCTATTTGACGTTCCTTTAAAAAAGTTTTAAGTAATATTTATTATAATTATTAATTTCATTATTCAAAAGTAAAAATATTTTTGATAATAATGAAATTGTCAATATTTAATTTTCCGCGGTTACTGTCTAACGAAAAAAATTATATACTCACATGTGAGAAAAATTCGCATTCGATAATCTCATTGAATGTGTTTAAGCGCCCAACAAATCATCGTCACTGTCTGATTGACAGACAGTAGTTGGTTCACAATTGTCTAATAATAAGCGTGCTTCTTCAGTAGTATTAATCTGCAATTAGCAATAATTATATTGATACATAATTCTACTAAAAATTAGATCTTGAAACGAAAATACACAAGTATTTGGTGAAAAATAAAAAACTAATAAAGTGCACGTATCAATTAAAATTTATTAATTTGGCATCATTAATTAATTTTTACGAAATCATAAAAAACAAAATCTTAAAATAAAACTAAAATATAATGGATTGTATTAGTTTTACAAAAATAAAGTTTAATGTAGTGAAAGAAAAATTCAAGTGATATGCATTGCAAATATCTCTTGAATGAACAAAAATTAAAATAATTTAAAAAACTATCACGGTTGTTTTTTCATTTTTTTAAGAGAAATGAAAACAAAAAAAATAAACAGTAATCTACTGAATTACTTAGCAACGAACATGCCGACGCAATTATAAGTAATTATAAAACAAAACAGTCTGCATTCTCTCTTAATTCGGTTTTTCATTTTAAACCTTTCAATGGATTATCTAATCTGATTAGAAAAACATCGTATAAATTATAAAGTTACAAAAATTATGTGAATGCAGAACTATTACACAAAAGTTACAAAAGCAATATAAATCTAAAATTTTAACGTAAGACAATGAAATTGTGCGAAAACTTAATCCAATTAATAACAGACATTAACTTAAAGTCTCTAGTCCTGAAACAAATAGAAGTTACATCTATTAACGAAATAATGCAACATGAAAATTAAAGAAATACTGTCACGCTATGTGACTATATAACAAAATTAAACGATTTCAAGTGCTTGGAAAAACAATCACAGCTCAAATTTTCCACCACCGAAAGCATAATTATACTATGGGGGTTTTCGGCAAACACTGGCATGCTACTGCCAGTAAAAAATATCCCAATCAGCATGAATATTTCTTTAGAATATTTATGCTGATTGGGCTATTTATTACTGGCAGTAGCTTGCCAGTGTTTGCCGAAAACGACCTATAATGAAATTTGGAATTTCCATGCAGATGATTCGTTGTTTTTTTTTTAACAAAAAATTGAATGACTGATAATAATATATACTAAGAAATACGAAGCAGTCTTGGATAAATAAAGAATATTTATAATTTTAGCATCAAAAAATAAATTATCTTTTAGGGTTGATCGTTTTTTATATTATATAAATTATAATTCTCGAGTTTTTGTGCATTTTTTTTATAAAGTATTCTTTAAATATCGTAATTATAAAAATCTTTTTCTTAAAACTACATATTTGTAACAAATACTGTGAATAATACAAGCATAGCCTTTTCTTTTTTTGTGTCGATGAGATGCAAATATAATACTTTTAAGTAACTCTATTTTTTTTTACTTCTTTCCTTTGTATTTATACTTTAAAAAGAAATATCGGTACGAAATAATTAAAAATTTCTACCACGTACCCTACAATACTTGACACGATCATTGCTCGAAGATGAACATGGACTCGTAACAAAGCGAGAACATCGAGCACGTCTGGATGGATCTCGCAGATACATTACTATCACGACAATTATCACAACTCCAGTGATTAAAGATACTAAAAATACACCTGCCAAAAAAATAAAACAATAATATTAATATTATTATTTTTCATTTCTGTGATTTCATGAATAAAAATTAAAATCAATAAGAATTGCATGTTTTTCAGATGTTGTAGAAACCCTGTAAGTAAAAATAAAAAAAAATATTTACCATTACTTGATGCAATTTCTGCTTTCTTTTCCGCATCTTTGGTATCACTAGGAGGAATTGGTTTCTTTGGTGAAGTTGAATTATCCGACGCGGATGTACAAACCAAACTAGTTTGCCATTCAAATTGTAAATGACATGATTCTGAAGATTTCTGTATGAGAACATTTTTGAACATTTTGTAATTGAAATTTTTTAAATTTAATTAAAATTGTTCTAAAATTAAATTAATAATAATTTAATTAACATTAAATAAATATAAAGGTCAAAAATAAATTTTTAAATTGACCTTCGTAATTATTCATTAATCAAAATTTTTTTCATTTTTTCTGTAAATATTCTAAAAATATTTTTAAAATAAATTACAATAGGTAATAAGAATGATAATTTAATTTAAAAACTTACCGAAATTAAAACTGGTGATCCAACATTGGCAGTTGAATTGCATACAAATGTAATGTCAGATTTAAATGTATCTGAAAATTAGTTTATTTAACTTTAATTAAAAAATTATTATTTTTAACTGAAGAAAAATATTATTTTATTTTTTATTATTGATTCCAAAAATCATACAATTAGTTTCCTTTTAGTTTTTCTTCTAAATTAAGCAGAATAAATAAAATCGAAAAAATTCAAATTTAGATATTAGAAATTGAGATTTTGTGTTTGTAACAAAACAAGTGTTTTATTTCGCACTTTCAATAATCGAAAAAATCTCAACTTTTAATATCAAAAAACTCGAATTTTAATGTAATAATACCTAGTGTTTTAAAAAAAACGTTAAATATTTATATCTGTCAATTGATTAATGATTAAAATGACTATTAAAAATATTACAACGAAAACGAAAAATTACCATTTAGACATTTTGTTCCTTTTGAAAATTCAAGTTTCACTGAATCTTTTGGATAATCGTAAATAACGTTTATTGAAGTTCCCAATCCATTGTTTCCTTCGCATATTGTAGAGCCATTACACAAATTTTTTTCTCCGCAAATGCTTATACTGTAGTTTTTATTATCATTATAAATCTGAGAAAAATACAAATAAATGGTTACAGAAATAAATTTAAATAACAAATTATATGCAAATATAATGTAAATAAAATAAAAAATTAAACTTACACGGAATGTTTGATCTCGTAGTACGGAAAAATCAAATGTACGCAAAAATGGATTACTAATTGTGCAATTATCATAGAAGTTACCAACAACTGTTTCGCAAACATTAATTGTAGTCCATTTGAACAAATACGTACAATCTGTATATTTGTCAAATTGTGGAGAACTCTGAAATAAATTTTTAAAAAATACATACAAATTATTTTAAAATGATAATTATAATTATCGAAATTTCCCTTAGATTATAAAAATAATTTTATAAAATTTCCTTGAAATAACTTTAAATTAGTTAAAAATGACAAAGAGAACATAAATAAGACAATACATATTCAACTTTTGATTAAAGAGTAAAATTATTTTTAAGAATTTTAACAAAATACCTTTTTTGTAAAATAGTCGCATTTGAATGTTATATTCGTTGAAATAGTATTGTTATTTTTTTCTGGACAAACAGCACCGAATTTGTAATGTAAAATTACACTTTCATTTTTATAAACAATGGGATTTTCTCCTGGATTTCCTAAACTCTATTTTAAAATAGATATAAAAAAATAACATTATATAGAAAAAAGTAAAGAGTGAGAAAAACATTTAAACTAGATAATTATGTTCATAGCATGAACATTTTTGCTTCCTCATAGAGAAAAAATTAATTTAAAAAATATTTTTTAATACATTCAAACCAAAAAAAAATCGTGACATACATACATATACACATATATGCATTAGAACATTTGCTTGATAAAAATTAGTTGATATTTAACCTTTTTTTAAAAAAAAAAAATCAAAAATCGTTACGACTATCAACCTTCCTCTATAAGGAAGCAAAATTAAAAATAAATGTTTATAATAAAAATTTTTGTAAACTTGCAGTTTCTTTGAGGTTTCTTCCATCTCCATCACGTTGAATTTTACAAACTGTTTTTCCTTGACAAGATTTAAAATTAGCTGGAGAAGTGAGAGGATTACACACATTTATATGAAACTCCAAATCATTACTTTTGACAATATAGTTTTCTTTTGTGAGAATTAAAGGACTCAAATCAATTTTTCCTTTTTTTGTTATCACGCCACAATTGACCTGTAGATAAATAATTTTGTACTTTTCAATTAATAAATAAATAATTTTTTACTTTATTAATAAAAAAAATGAAATCAATTAACTTTAAAATCATAAATTAATTATTATATTTAAATTTTTCTTATTATAAATAATTGTCTGAAAATTATTTAAAAACCTGTTTATTTTCTACGAGTTTTTTTGGTGGTTCTTCTTTTTTTATCGACAAAATGTCAGGTTTATTTTCAATTGATTCTTTCGTTCTTGTGACCACTTTATGTTCTTCAAATGAACCTTTACACGCTAATGGTGTTTTCCATTCTATATGATAATCACATGTACCATTCACATATTTCGGATGCGAATCCTAAAAATAATTTTTGTAATTAAATATATATTGTCAAATAGTTACATTAATTTAAATATTCTTTGGAAAAATTGAAACAAATGGACTAAATACATCCTCTACAATTTATTTTCACTCACTGATTTGATAAAATAAAAAGCAAAAAAGAAAAATGAAATATTTTACCTCAGCATAATGATCACAAATAAAATTTATAATGGTTTTATAATGATTTGATCCTTCACTGCACATGCCACCTTCATCATATACAAGTTGTAAGTGTCCATCTTCTACTATCGAAAGAGGTTTCTCCTTCCAAACTTCACCCAAACTCTCACCACTGAAATAAAATAAATAATTTATTTATTTACAATAAATTTTAATTTTTGAATTATTTAATTAAAAGACTGCAGATTTATAAATAAGATAAAATTATTTTTTTCTGTTATAAATTTTTAATTTTTTTAAAATGATATTTTGTAATTAAAAATTTTTTTTTGCTTACCTCTCTCTGAGTGCATTAGAATTTACAAGACAGGAGCCAGCTTTATTTATGCACGAAACTCCATATCCAAAAATCAAAGAATGACATACATTTAAAAGTATCTTTGAAGAATTTTGTACGGGAATTTCATAATTATCAGAATATTTCGTCAATTTTGACAGATCATACTTAAAACCAGTGCTATCAATCACTGAGCAATTTGTAATCGTTTGTTCTCCACAAGCCAAACTCGTTTTCCAATGAATATCAATTTCACATTGATTTTCTTTCTGCAATAATTAATTTATAAATGACTTCAAAATTTTAGAAATCTAAACTTTGTTTTCAATTTTAAACGTGAAGAAACATAGATTTTGGATTTCTATTAAATATTTTTTTTGAAATAAAAGTATAAGCAAACAAAACAAAAATAATTTATCTATTTAAAAAAAAAAAACTACATACCTTTAGATAAAATAAACTATTTTGTTATATTTCTGGTTTGTTCTTTAGTAATAAAAAAAATTAAAAATTAAAAATCTAAATCACTTAGTAAACTGCAATTATTTCCCAAAATAAAATAGACAAAGAGGCCCCTTTTCAGGCGAACATCCACGTATTATTTTTTAAATCTCTACTTGTCAAAATTAAGACGAAAATTTTTTAAATTGACAAAGTAATATAAAAACATAGAAAATTTTGTAAATCTTACATGTGGAATGACAATAGGATTGGAGTGATATTCTTCGGCTTTATAATCGCATTGCATTTTTACTAATGTCGTGTAATTAGCAGAATCATTGCATTTGTCACCAGTAAATTGAAACAATATTTGATAAGCTTCAATTTTCAATTCAGGCGGATATTTTCCTGGAAAAAAGAATAAATAAAAATTACGAGTAAAGCCCTTTTCGAAATTCACCATTCAATTAAACTTTTACTATAATAATTACCACAAAATTTAAATGAATAAATGTACATTTAGTTTATTAAATTTTTATAGATAATTGAAATTTTTTATTTATATAATTACCTAAACCAATTTCGTTCCCATGTTTTGTTAAACAAAGACCATAATCATTTTTTCCATTGCATGTCTTTTGCAATGGACTGCATAATTGCAAATAAATTACTTCATCAGAGTTACTTGTTGTAATCTTATAATCAATATTCTTACTTAAAATATTAGTAAAATTAAATTTTTTCATTTGTTTCTCATTTTCATTTATAAGGCAGATATTTTCTTTCTTTTTTATCTATAAATAAAAGCAAAAATCATTACAAACACATTATTAATATTAATTATTTTACTAAACATTATTAATTACTGTTAACACCAAATAATAATAATAATATAATAAATGTTACTAAAATTTAAACTATAATTATGAATTATTTATTTATTTTATTTACTATAAACTCTATAAACTAAATTTACAAATATAACCTTAAAAAATTTAATAAAATAAAAACATATTTCAAAAATCAGAATTAATATTCAAATAAAAATTATATTATTTATTTGTATTAAAAAACGACATTATGATATGCTGAGTGAGAAAAGGGAAGGAATATCAAAGCTTTTTAAATATATTTACATGACAAATAGAAATCATTTTTCTTTCATAGTAACTGAAATTAAAAATAAAAAATCAATATTTACCTCATTATTCGTAGCTCTTGAAACTGATGTTAATAATAAAAGGAAAACGCAAATGCAAAAGATTTTAATAGTGAGCTTCATGTTCCTTGTCCTAAAGTTCTTCTAAAAGGACCGAACAAACTTTCCAGTCATAACAAAAGATAGTTGGCACCTGCAACAATGGCAAACATAAAACAAATGCCGGTAAAAGTTCCGAGAATTCCGTATTATCGTTTAACCGCGAATAAGTCACAGGCATAAAACCACAAATTATTTATTGTTTCACACAAACACTTTTATTGGTAAATAAAAGAAAAGTTTCGAAAATTATTTTTGTCAGTGCGTAAATACGTTTAATCACAATATTACTGATAAAAAGATAATTAATTATTATCAGGTACGTAATCTAAGGTGAATAATCAAAAAATCGTTTTGATAAACATAAAGCACGCAACATAAAGCACGATGAATTTTTGGTCTGCTATTTTCTCTTGTATCTTGAATATTATTGGACGATTGAAGATGGTTGTCTAAACTCTAATGTGCTGATTGGTTGAAGAAGAGAAATTGCGCAGAAGTAAAGAAAACGAGTTTCATATTCCTAACCTTATATTCTGTTTACAAAACAAAAAGCAATATCCGAATTTTTTAAAATATTTTTGACGTGTTTATTTATTTAACAACAGAAAAGAGACAATAATAAAAAACTATGGAAATTTCAACAATGGAGGATGCATTCACGATATTAAAACCATTGTGTGACAATTTGTTAAATTATCCAAATATTGAAAATACTATTGGAGTTACAAAAGTTGTAGAAAAATGTTCAAATGCAGTATTGCAAAATTTAGTGGAATATGTTATGATTCCTGTTACAATGCATTTGTTTAATAAGGATATAAGGTAATAATTATTTAATAATATTTTGTTTGTTTTTTTAATACACATTCAAAATAAATAAGAAAAATTTATTTTGCAGTAAAGACATAAAACAACATTTATTGGAGACAATGAGAATAGTAATTTCGAAAACAAGAATTCTGAAAATAGAAATTTTAAATCATTATTTCGTTTGTATTATTAGTCAAATTTTTACTCCTACAAAGACTGAGATGCGTAAGTATCAGAAAACTATAGAAGATTATTAATTTAAATTAATAAAAATTTTACTGTTTTTTGCTTTATACTTTATATTTATTGAAAGAATTATTTTTTCATAATAAAAAATATTTTAATTATAATTAACGTGTTTAATTTATGAAAATGTAAAGTATTTTTTTGTTAATGTTAATTATCCTGGTAATTTTTCTTTTCCAGTAACTTCTTTCCATGAAGAGTTAAAGGAAAGTACAATTTTGTGTATGAAATGTTTAATAGAACGTTGTACAACTGATGTTTTGGAATTATTTTATACACCGAAAAATGTACCTAAATTAAGTAATGGAGTATTTTTATGCATTTTAATTGCAAGAACTGAAAAATCAAAATCTCTAAGGTAAAATTTTTTTTCGCTTTATTTTAAAATATTTTTTTAAAGCTATTTACACTTTTTTAAAATGATTAATTAATTAACTACGTAATATAATATAATCTGGTCATTTTTATTACGATTCAAATTGTATTAGTTTTGATGATAAAAATTGCTTTTAATTTTCTCCTAAATACTTTTTTTAAAAATATATATTTAAACAATTATATTACAAAATTATAATTTCTTACATAATTTTTACTCTAAAAAGTATTTTTACGCTATTTAAAATCTTAAAGTAATAAATACTTTAACTAATTTGGATTAAAGAAAACTTTTTCTTGATAATTTATTACTAAATTTTAACTAGTTCACAATAAAACTTCATTCACTAATTAAAATTGGTTATGAATTTTACTAATTCAGTTTTAAAGATTAAAATATATAAATTTTGAAGCCTTTTTAGTTAAGTGAAAAAATAATTTGATTCAAGTAAAAAAAATATATTAATTTTTATTTTTGAAAACAATGTTTAAAATATTTATTGTAAACGACTATTTTTCAGAATTGCCGCTATAGAAACATTAATGTCTCTGTTACAAATACATGACGCATCAGATGATAAAGATGTAGTTTTTCGCTCGCAAGTGGCAGATTCAGTAATGGTCATTTTACCAGGCGTTTCAAGTGGATTATTAGAAGTTGCCACTGGTAGTGATGTTCAAGGACACAAACTTACCCTGGTAGTGATAAATTTTTTCAACATAATTTATTCTTCTCGAAAAATCAAATTAAAACAATATTATTTTTTACAGATTGCAATCAGATCTTGGAGTAGAATTATTGCACTAGTGATGGAGGATTCCATAGAATTGGAAATGGAACCACTTTTGGATACAATTTGTAAAAAGAATGAAATTTCCACCACACAATTTCAGAAATCTTTGAAATTCCAAAAATCAGAAGATATGAAAAAATATATAGAATCCGCTAAGAGAACACCAGAATGGTTTCAATTCGCAAGTGATAAGCTGAATATTCTTATGAACGAATTGAATAATCTAGCGTCTCATTCTCATTTCAAAGTACGAAAAGAATTAGCTGTGGGAATTAGTTTATTACTCACGAAATGTCCGAGGTAATTTGATAAAAATATTAATTAAAAAAATAGTATTTTATGTTACTTTCCAACTCTTTTTATACTTTACTCTTTTATGTTTTCTGTTAGAGATTCTTTTTTGTCAATTTTATTACTTTATATAATTGAATTATTCTAGAAACATGAAACCATCATTTTCGAAATTAATAGAAATCTTAATAACATTGTCTGAGGATGAATCTGAAGATGTTGCGGAAATAGCTAAATTTGGATTAAATTCTATAAGTTCTAAATGTTCCCAAGAAAAGGGGATGAAGTCTTTGGTTGAATTGTTCGAAGATAATTTTTACAAGTTACTCACAACGCTTCCTAGAATTATGAGAACAGCTGGTTAGAAATTATTTCCGTTTAATGTATTAAAAAAATAATTTATTATTAATTAATTTGAGAAGAAAGTAATATTTTTTTTATTGTTTCTTTCGATAAAAATAGAAAAGTTCCTTTTTGCCATTTTTCAGATGACTCGATGCAGCTTTCTTATTTGAATCAATTAGCTGCATATTTACGATTGCTGGGAAAACAAAGATTACCTCAAGTTATGTTGTCATCTGTTCATTTGCAAAGATTGATTCTTGCGTTAGTTTACGTCACCGAAATTGAATGCAGTGGAATTTCAATTTTAGAAGATTTCTCGACAAAACGTAAGGAAGAAAAATAAATAAAAATTTTTTTCACGTACAAATATACGTTTTGAATTTTTTATAATTTTTTTTTATAATAATAATAAAAAATTATTAATATATTAATATAAAATTTTGAGAAATATAAATACAACAAAATTTTTTGATGCAATTAAATTTTAAAAAATTGAAAATTTTATAATCTTAATAGAATATTAATATTCTTCTTCCTGAAAGAAATATTTATGATAATTTTTAATTTATAGAAATCTAAAAAATTAAGTTGAACTTTTTCGATGTTTGAGAAGGATAGAAAAAAAGGTGAACTAAAAATTAAATTGTTTTGTCTATTCGAAATTATGTATTATAAATTAAAACGAAAATAAAAAATGGAAGATAAATAAGTGCCTCCTTGTTATAGTGTTAATTTTTTTAGAAGATTAATATAAAGTATCTATGTAATAGAAATTTTTTTTATTGTTTTCATATTTTTATTTATTTTTTCAGATGTTGATGATATTCACTATTCAAATAGTCAGTCGTGGAGACAGTTTAAATTCATCAACAGTTCATCTGCTGAAAAGAAACTTATGGTCATTTGTGAATTGCTGGGTGAACTTGGCGATTTTGAAATTTTAGTTGATACAATTTTGAAATTGATGTTTGATATGCCACAATATATAAAAGAATTAACTTTGTTACTCAACTGGATAGTCCAAGGTATTTTGAATTTATTATTTATTACTTATATTAATTTTTTTTTAATTTCTAAAACTCGATTTTTTATTTCACATATATTTTTTAAAATGGAAATTTTTTCAGATCCAGATCCAAATCCAGAAAAAATGTTACTTTATAGGCAAATAATTGATCAGTATATAACTTCAGATTTTTGGTACTTGCCATTAGAAGTCTCGAAAGATACTAATTTACGAGAAGTACAAAGTAATCTCATACAATGTTGTTTACTAGTCGAGGGTTTAGGAAATATAGCGGAAATTTTAAAGAAAGATTATGATGAGTTTTTGCTCAAAACTCTTTATTTCGTTCTGGAACGTGCAGGTATTTTTTTTTACATTTCTTTCACATACTAATTTTTTCAAAATATTTAATGATTTTTTTGAAAACAAAAATAATGTAGGAAGTGGGCACAGTTTGTTAAGAACAGTGGGACTTGAGGCACTAGAAAAAATAACAAAATCACAATACAATTCGATTGGGGAACTTTTGAGAAAAAATGTCGATTACATTTCATATCATGTTACATTGAAATTGCGCCGAGTGAAAAGAAATCCTGGGGTTCTTGATGTTCTTGGAGTGGTGATGGAATTCAGTACAATGGACTTTTTGCCATGTTTAAAAGAAATTGTCAACGATGTTCTCAGACAGTCGAATGTAAAAATACAAAAAGACAATATTGACTCGTTTTTAAGAGTTTTTTACACGTTTACAAAATGTGTGAAGAGATTAACATTAGGAGATGAAATAAAATTAAAGGAGGAAAACGATTTAAATAATAATCCTAAAGAAAGAATCATTCATGAATTAATAGAATACAAAAAATTGAAGGAATTGACAAATCTCGAGAATATTGATGATGAAAATGAAAAACCAGTCAGCATTGAAGAAATCGAAGAAGAAATGAAGAGTTCTGCTTATGATTATGTTGAAGAAGGTATTATTTAACATAATTAGATTTCATTAATTATTATTTGTTGTGACTGAATATTTAATTAAAAATTGGTTAAATTAAATATTGCCTTTTCTTTTAATAAAAAAAATTTTTTATATGTTTTAGAAAAAAAAGAAGAAAAAATTCCAGAATATGTGAAAATGATAGAAGAGGTAATGAGACGTTGTTTACATTTTTTGCCAAGCAAAGATTTGACAATTTCAACACGAGCTATTACAACTTTAAATGAAGGATTTTTTATATTAGCAAATTGGGAAAATCAACTTTTACCAATTGTTCATGAAACGTGGCATCCATTGGTTGAACGATTCCGCGATCCAAATCCAATTGTTATCAATCGAGCTTGGCAACTTTTTATGACTCTCGCGCATGTCTCGAAAGATTTTATTCGAGCCAGAACTTTAAAGTGAGTTGATAATTAGTGGACGAATTAAAGAATTTTCAACTTGTTTTCTATGTAGAACTCAACTCATTAAAAACTCAAGAATTCATATTTAAAAATTATTTTCGATAAAATTTAAGATTTTCTGTTTTAGAAAAGTATTGCCGTCATTATCAGAATTTTTAAGCAAGTCGTCTAAAGAAAGTTATAAAAAGGACTCGGGCAGTATGTATAAATTTACACAAATGTTTAAACTACAAAAGGAACTACTCATGCAATTGGGTCAAGTAGCGAAAGATTTACAATTGCAAGAGCGACAATTGTGGGAAATTCTTGGAATTTGCGAATCGTATTTGAGTTCTTTGCAAAATAAATTTTTACAGGTAAATTAAATAATTTTATCAAGTTGAATTTAATTGGCAATATTAAATTGATGTAAATTTAATAATAAACAGGCTATTATTTAGTTGAATTAAATTTAATTATGGTAATTAATTATAAGTAAATATTAATTTAATTAAGTTAATATCAGTTACATAACATTTCAGGAAAGTTGTGTGACTTTGTATCAGGAAATTGCGGATTATAATAGTGATATCGTTTGGACTAAGTGTCTCGCAATGTGGAATAAACATGTGGATCGAATGGAAACCAATTCTTTTGAAGCGTGGTACAAGAAGGTAAGACTAATTTATTGTGACTTTCAGTCATATTAATTTAATTAAATTTAAAGTCAGCTCTTGAATTTACTGAGAGTTAATTCTTTTATAAAAATTAAATTTTATTTCATTTTGACTTTCATACTTTTTTACATTAACAATTTATTCTAACATTTTGATATTTTGTAAGTAAAATTCTCTTTTTTTATTAATTACAGATTGATCAATTGGAAACGCAAAATGAGTATCAGAGAAATCTTCAAACAATTTTGAAATATATAAAACAGAAAAATATTCTTTAAAAGGTAAATTGTTTATTAAACTAATATATTCGTTATGTAGTTTTTTACTTTTATTTCATTAGGTTTTGTACTTTTTCATAACCGCAGCATAAAATATATTTTGATATAATATATTATTAGTGTCTCAGCATATTAAATAATAACAATAACTAACCTTCAATATATATCAATTTTATAATTTTAATACTGAACTATTTTACAATTTTAATGTAAAAATATGAATCATTAAGCATATAAAATATGCACTCTATAAAATCACAACAATCACATAAACTTAATTTCATTAATTTAAACATTTTTTTTAATATTTTAATTGTTTTAGAAAATTTGAATTTGTATAATTTTTTTAAAATTATGTTAAAATGTGATACAGTAACTTTAAAACTGGTGAAAATTGGAAACATTTTTTTTCTATTACTTCTATGTATTTTAGTTTAAATACTTAATTAAAAATAATAAATTTTCTTTCCTATACTTAAAATTTATATTTAATAAGAAGTATAACAAATTTTAATAAAATTTGTTTAATTATGAATTCTAAGAACATGCAGAATGTTTCCTGAAGAGTATCATTATTTCTTTAAAATTAGTCGACAATCATCTTTGGTCAAAATATAATGGAATGACATTTAAAAGTTTTTTTTGGGGGATTTTCGCGCGCAAACTTAATTTTTCTGAGAAAATATTTTTCATAGAAGGAAAGAAGGATTCTGTTTAGCCAGTCCCTCCAACCACTTCCAATATGTGTAGCTCATCAGTTATCATAATATGTATAACATTGGAGCCAATGTTGTCACGTCTCCAGTCTTACTTAAACCAGTCTGAGCTAAACAGCTCTGAACGTGGCTCCCTAAAATATGTGAATTCTCAAATTAATTTAAAAAATTTAAATATGATGATTTGTAGTTAAAGTGAACTTTTTGTTATCTGCGTTTAAATGTGTAATCGGTAAGTGTAAAAAAAATTATTTTTATTTATTAATTTTTTTTAAATTTCGAGTCCCAAAAATAATTTTTGAAAATTCAATTCTATTAGAATATCGGAAATCCTCCAGTAAGAAATTATTTATCTATTATAATTCATTATCAAATAAAATCATTTAATAATAACAATTTAGGTATTATTATTAATTATTTATTTTTGTATTATCCTCTTAAAAAAATGTTTTTATTTTTTTGTTTTACATTATTTTTTTACACTAATTATATATAAAAAGATATATATCATTTTTTTATCTGTACTTCTCTTTCTCGTAAATTATTATTCGAACCAGATAAAAATAGAGCCGCGAAACATATTTATTTCATTGTATGTATTCTGGAGCGTGAATGTATTTATTTGTGATGTTTTTTTTTTAAAGTTTTGCGACTGAATGTGATTTGATATTCAGTGTGTGTGTGTGTTTGATACCGAGAAGCGTGACGTCATTTATCGATGATTAAAATTCAGGAGAAGAATTTTGGAACATTCTTTTTATTATTTTTGTTCTTCCATTAGAGATTAATTTATTTTTATTACTAAATATTTGTTTACGCTACTTCTATATAAGTTATTCGATTATATTTCGGACAAAATCGTTGATGTCTAATTTAAAAAATTTATGCTATTTTGCATGAAACATTCTGCACGTTTTTAGAATACATAATGAAAAAAATTTTATTATAATTTTTATTATTTCTTAGTAAATATAAATATTGTAAACAGAAAAGATTTGGCAAACTGTCACTTTTTGTTTATTTAACAGAAAATGTTTTAAAAAACAGAAATTAAAATAAAAAAATTATAGAAAAAAATAATATTACAGTTTTACGATTTTTGTTAATGTTTATTGTTTATAAAATTATAATATAATAATAACAAGAAAAGTAAATATGGGTATATCATTATAAAAATATTTTTTTTTATAAAATCAAAATTAAAATACTTGATAATATCTGAAAGTTCTTTATAATCAGTTGATAATAATTATAGATATAGGTTATTGAATTTGAAACATTTAAATCTTTTTTTAGAACTTTTAAGGCTAAAAGAATTTCTATTGGATAAAAAAACGATAGACTAAAACGGATGTTACTGATAGTTAAACATAAATGTTTTTCACATTTGCTCAGAGATAATAATAATTTGTCACTTTGAAATTGCGGATACACAGATAAAAATCCAATGTCCACTTAATAATAACAAATGATAATAATAGAATTATTCTAAATAAATTATATATAATTATAATACATATAAATACATATAATTTTTACAAATCTTTGACCAAAAATTTTTTCTCTTTTATACAATGTGACCTAACACAAGCTCCATGGTAAGAAATACGCACTCAACAACATGAAACCTGTTTGCGCATTATCTCCCAACATACGATCACACAAAATGAATAAAAGTTTTGAGATACCCCTTTTGAGAATACAACAAGAGTTCTCTCCAAAAAATGTGACTCTTTTTTATAGGACCACTATCCTCAGACCCATTATCACATGAGGTATCCACAGAGAGTTCTTTACAAGAAAAAATTTTTATTTTCATATTACCATCATAAAAGTAGTTAGCTTTCAGTATTTTGTTTCTAAATCAAAGAAAAATAAATAATTTTAATTTATAGTTAAATTTTTTGTTATTTTTATTTTATTATATTATTACTTGATCCAATTCTTTTACGCATCTTTGATATGACTGGGAAGAGGTGATTTCTGGTGGTTCAATTATCCGATAATAATTATTGTATGAAACAATTATAAAATTGTGGGAATTTTTTTTTATAAATAATTTAATTTTTAAAAATTACTTAATTACTATTAATAATCTTCAATATCTAATATTTTTGAATTTAGATGAAATTGCAAATCAACTTCTAATGACAGATAGTTTTGAATTTTAGAATTGTATTGCATAGAAGCGAAATTGTTTTAAATAAATACAATATTACGCTCAATTATTTTTTCCACAATATGAATAATAATTTTTGAATAAATTGTTTTACATCAAATTAATTTATAGTAAGTTAGTATTTTATTTATTAAATTATTACGTTATTGTATAATGCTAATTAAAATTTTTTTTGTTACAGATGAATATCTAGTCCTGAATTTTTATTCGAAAAAAAAACAGTCATAATAATGCAACAATTGTGGAAGATTATTGAGTTACTTTTAATTTTGAAAGTAACAATTATTTACTGTAATAATTGCCAAATGCTAAATTATAATCATAAATGTCAATGTTCTCCTCTCAAATCAGAAGGATATAATTTAAATTGTTCTATTAATTCGACAAGAAATGAAATAGACATCAGAATTGAATATTTTCCTGAGGAAATCTTCAGAATATTTTGTCAAAATAATGACAATTTATTATACTTCGATCACAATATAAGTTCCATTGTGAAAAATACGAAAAATATATCAATATTAGATTTACATAATTGTCATTTCGAGGACATTAAAATAAAAAATATCGCTTCATTGTTGGGAGTCGAAAATTTTGAGACTCTTCAAATTTTCAACGATAAAAGAACGACTTTTGGGACATTGCACAAAAATCAGATTCATGATTTACCGAATTTGAAAAAACTAGAAATATCTGATACTCGTTGTAATAGTTTAGACGAAGATTTATTGGAATTCATACCAAATATTACAACATTAATTCTCAGAAATGATCAAATAAAATCGATTCCAAAAAATTTCTTTCAATTTACTCCTAAATTGAAAATTATTGAATTCGAAAGTAATAAACTTAAAATGTTCGAAAACGGGACATTTAGTAATCTGAAGGATTTATTATTTCTTAGTCTCTGGCAAAATGACTTAACGAATTTGAATAGTCATATTTTTGACGAATTGAATTCTATAGTAGAAATTAATCTTTCCTCCAATAAATTGATAACGTTACCAGACGGCATTTTTCACAAGAATTTCAATTTAAAAATAATCAATCTCTCGCGCAATTTGTTGCAAAATTTACCGGCTAATATATTTTATGGATTAAACAAATTGGAAAGTCTTGAATTAAGTGATAATAAAATTGAAAATTTAAATGACAAACATTTTGATTCTTGCATCAATTTGAAATACTTGAATATCAATAACAACAATATCGTTACAATATCAAAGTATGTATAATTCATTATTTATTATTAATAAATATATATTTCATATTTTATTAAATACCTTTTAATTACCATTTTCTTAAAATTTTATATTTCATTGTAAATAAAATTATAAAATAAATATTGTAAATTAGTACCTATTATAATTTTACAATTTTTGAAAAAAAATAAATAACTTCTTTCTTTCACAGGTTCACATTTTCAAAACTTGCAAATTTAGAAACCTTATTTATGAACAAGAATAAAATAATAAACATTGATAAAGAAGCATTCAACGCTTTGCAACACTTGAAGAAAACGTATTTTGCTTTCAATAATTTAACTACAATGTCTGTAATAGAATACGACAGCAAATCCTTATTCAATAAATGTAAAGAATTAGAACTACTGGATTTATCGTACAATAAAATACAATTGTTGTGTGACGACTGGACCAGATTTCCTGGACATCATTTCAACTTTCTCAATCTCTCTCATAACGATATAAGTTCCTTGACGGTAAGTTTCAATTTTTACTTTCAACAAAATTGTATTAAAAAAAAGAAATGACTTGAACAAATCTATAATAATTTCATCTCAATTTTTGCAGGTGGATGATTTAGATATTAAAAATCAAAAAGATTTTACCGTAGACTTATCTTATAACAAGATAACGACTGTCGATCTGAATGATCCATTTAATGAGAACTTTGAAAAACGTTTCAATGAGGAATATCGAAGCACAGTTGTGTTATTACTGAATAATAATCCAATTAAGTGTGACTGTGCTTTGTACGACTTTTTACGATATTTGGATGGTTCAATGATGAATGTGCGAGATACATTAAAAATAAACACTGGACCAATGAAGTGTTCCGATTCGAAAAAATACGAGGATATTTTATTGTCGGAATTGAATTCCAAGAGTTTCGAGTGCATTCCGCCGATGGAGGAAATTAACGATTTTGAAATGTGTCCTCAAGAATGTGATCAGTGGACGAGACCGTCAGACAAAACATTTATTTTCAATTGTTCTTACAGAAATCTCAATCAAGCTCCAGAAAGTTTGTGCTCATTAAAAAGCAAGGGATATGTCAAAGAACTTGACCTCACTGGGAATAATATAACAATTATTCCAAACCTTCAACAAACTGGTTACAATAATTTATCGAGGCTCACATTGTCACATAATCAAATTTCAACCATTTCCACAAATATACTTCTTAACGTTACACTTCAGGTGAATTATTATTACTATTATTCATTTTAATTACTTTATTTTTTCACTATTAAAATTTTGTTATTTTGAGTAAATAGATATATAGATTTTTCAAATAATTAGATTATCGGATTCATTTTTTAATAAAAAATTTGCATTTTCTACAAAAATTATTTCATGACAAACTAAAAAAAATGCAAATATATTTTCAATTAAAAACGATTGTAATTCATTTAGAATTCATTAAATATTTAAATTATTTAAAAATAGCGGATTTATTATGGCGAAGGATTTATAATTTGGGAGCATATAATAAATTATAAAATATTTTAAATTTTATCTGCAATATTGGACCCACCATTATAAATTAAAATTTTTAATCAGCGACTCATAAAAATTTCAAATAAATTTGAACAATTTTTCAAATTGCAAATATATTCTGAAATAAGGAATCATTTTTTGCAATTTAAAAAAACTTCACACTTTACAAATTTTTTTAGACTAATAATAGCAAAAATACGAAAAAATAATATTAAAAGCGGAATACAGAAATTTTTCTGGGGCAAAAATAAATAAAATAAGACTGCATTTTCTGACGAAACAAATTTTGTTTATTACAGAAATTGGAACTTGACAACAATCAGCTAACATCAATAAAACCGGAGGCAATTGAGGAATTGAAATTATCGGTGAAAAGGATAAAACTTGGAAATAATCCATGGCAATGTGATTGCGGTGCAAAGAGTTTGCATAATTTCACCAGTGCAAAAAATACCACGGTCGAAGATGAAAGGAATATAATTTGCAAGAATTTTAACAGAATGCTGACAAAAATCACAATTGACGAGTTGTGTCCATCGAATCTCGAATTAATTGTCACTGCAAGTGTATTTATTGCAATTTTAGGACTGAGTTTCGGTCTCATTGCTGCATTTTACTATCGTTATCAGCAGGAGATCAAAATCTGGCTTTACGCGAAGAATCTTTGTCTGTGGTTCGTCACCGAGGAAGAATTGGACAAGAACAAGCCGTACGACGCATTCATAAGTTATTCCCACAAGGACGAAGAATTTGTCATCAATGAACTTATGGCGAATCTGGAGAAAGGACCGAGATCCTTTAAGCTCTGCGTTCACTTCAGGGATTGGCTTGCAGGCGAATGGATTCCATTTCAAATCGCAAGGTCCATCAGGGACTCGAGGAGGACAATTGTCGTGGTCTCGCCGAATTTCATTCAAAGTGAGTGGGGCAAATTGGAATTTCGCACTGCTCATAAAGAAGCTCTAACCGAGGGAAGGGCGCGAATTATCGTTATCCTGTACGGTGATATCGGACCTGTTGATAAATTGGAACCAGACCTGCAATCGTATTTGACTATGAACACTTATGTGCAGTGGGGCGATCCGTGGTTCTGGAATAAACTTCGTTATGCATTGCCCCACAAATCGGACGCAGTTTACAACCCATCGAAATACAAGAATTTCAACAAGGCGCATACTGTTGTTCCGTTGAATTTCAAAAAACTTGAGGTTGAAAAATTTCCCGAAAGTGGCTTGGCACCACTAAATGGAAATGCAAAAATAGTCATCGACATGAGTGACGATGAGTGTAATAAATTAAATACCCGGTTCTAAATTTTACTGTTTTCAGTATAAGGAAAAATCAAATGACTTTTTTATTAACAGAATTTTTATATACAACAATTTTGATTTAACGTAATTTCTAATGAATTAAAATTCTTATTTTACGTGATAATTGTAAATATGTAGATAATAGGCGGCCAGTAGACAGAATTAAATTTTTATATTTTCTTAATGTCTACTTGTCTGGAAATATCAGTCCGTTAGCCGAATAACTCGCTAGATTGCTACTGGCTTGACCATTTTTAGGTCATTAGAAGAAGCACTGTTTTTAGTTGTACATGAAATGAAATAGCGTTTAATTTTTTTTACTTTTCGCTAATTAATGTAAATATTAGTATTTGTATATGAAAATAATATAGCTAAGTAAAATACTTTTAAAAATAAACTTTAGTTTTTAATGAAATTTTCTTCGATACATTCAGAAAAATGAGTTATTTGGCCAACAGCCTGACTTATCTCGGCCTGTACATACAAGTTAAAATACTCGACTTATGGCCATCGAACCATAATAATATTTTTATAAAAATGAGACTGATATATAAATGTGTAGATATTAATTAGGTATATTTTTACTATTTTACATAAAACATGTGATATATACATAAATGTTAATATTTCATTAAAAATACTTGTAAAGTAAATTGTTTCATTTTTATCTTTTAAATTTACAAAATAGAAAAAGCAAGAAAAATACACAAATATATATATTTCTGTATTTTTCTATCTCATACACCTTGTTTGCAAATCAAGTTTTTTCAAACAGATCTTTATGATAAATCTAAAATTCATAAAGCAAACTTGCAAAAAGCTTCCCACATAGCACGACTTCTTGCTGTGAGGTTACTGTAAGGATATCTGTAGGGTTTGTAAGGTTACCGTGTAAGTCTGCAGTAAACTTGAGGTGATCTTAAAACTTCCGCCTTACAGTAAGCTTACACAGTAAAGCTAAGGTAAGCTTACACAGTAAGGTCGTGGTAAGTTTACGTGGTAAGATTGTGGTAAGCTTACACGGTAAGGTAGTTGTAAGCTTTCAGTAAGGTTGCTGTAAGTTTACTGTAAACATGAAGTAATATGAAAATATATTAAAAGTAATTATATTATAATATATAGTATATTATAAATTTTTCTTTATAAAAAATTATATATTTGGTAAAGAACTTGATGAACCCCAATAGGGTGTGTTAAATAAAAGTTACTGCGCAGTCGTATGTGGCATAGAAAACTACTGCGCATAAATATTAATAAAATTTATTTATTAATAACATTCTATGTTTACAGTAACCTTACATCAACCTTACAGTAACCTTAAAGGAAGCTTACAACAACCTTCCAGTGTAAGCTTACATTAGCTTTACTGTGTAAGCTTACTGTAAGGCCGAAGTTTTAAGATTACCTCAAATTTACTGCAGGCTTACACGGTAACCTTACAAACCCTACAGATATCCTTACAGTAACCTCACAGCAAGAAGCCGTGCTATGTGGGTTGTAGCAAGCTTGCATAATGTTAAAGAAAAAAAATTTCTAGATACAACTTATTTCTAAATAAACCTAGAAGGCACCCTGTTTTGGAGGTTAAAAAATTTATTGCGCAGCCGTAGGAGCTTCTGTTTACAATACTTGTACTAAACTTGCCACATGTTTGCACAGCAAGCTTCCTGCAATTTTGTTGCAAGTTTTTATGCTGACTGGGATTTCCATTTGTTTCTTATTTCAATGTCAAAATCATGTTTTTTTAATTATTTTAAAAAATCATAAATATTTATGTTCATTTTTTTACTGCATTTTTTTGCAGTAAAATTCTATTGCAACTTTAACAAAAATAAATTTGAAAGTTAAAATAAATTTTAACCTTGTCTTGTAAACCCTACCCCTACCCCATTAAAAATTACGTGTTATATGGATAACTCATTGGTTACGTGAGTCATTAAAAGAACAATGTAACGACAAGATAAATTCACTTATTTCTCTTCAGTATATTTCATGCTACGCTTAAAGCTACATTATTTCCTACAATGTCATCGTTTTTAAAAAAAATCATTTATTGTTTAATCGTATTTGAAATTTCAAACTTAAAAATCGTTCAGGTAAAATTTATTCTTTTATTAATATTTATTAATAAATAACTCAAATAATAGTAATATACAAATAATATAAATAATAAATAGTATAAAATAAAATATAATTAGTATAAAAAATAAGTAGTTATGATCATTTTTGCTTCCCTATAGAAAAATTAATTTTAAATAAAGGTATTAATTTTAGATTTTTTAAAATTGGTACTTTTTATATACAGTGGAGCCACAATCATTATTCAAATTTCGCTAAAAAAAACGAATAGATTTAATTTTCACCTCCATGAAGTTGGCGTCGACGCTCAGCGTCGAAAATTATTTTCCAAGGGACCAAAAATGTATAATCATTTTTAAAAAGGTTTTGGGTTCGTATTATGTCTCGAAAAGTATTTCTCAAGGGATTATTTGTACCGAAAATAATTTTAAAAAATAATTTGACATTTTTTGTATTGTGAAAAACAATTTTCGGCGCTGAGCGTCGACGTCAACTTCATTGAGGTTAATTTTCAAAAGCAAAATAACAAAATTTATTCCAAAGAAATGTTAAAAGTAGGCAAAAAACCATGTTCGTTCTGAAAACGTTTTAAGAACGTTTTTGAAACGAACATGGTTTTTTGCCCACTGGGGAATGTATTTATATTTTAATTATTATTTATTTATTTAATTTAATATAAAATATGTACATTTAAAATATTATATAGGCTGAACAAGTTGAACTGAATTTAGAGGCTTTGAAAAATTTAATCGAGTACCTTCGAATTCCATCTGTTCAGCCAAATGTGAACTACGGTAAAGTATTTGCAATCTTCTGTTTTTAATTTGTATTCTATTTTAACCCGTTGCCTGTCGCTGACACATATATGCGTAAAACTAAAACTGGCCAAAAGTGCTCTTTACGCATATATGCGCAACTTAAAAAAAGTGATGAATAACATCTCAAATATTTCTGAAACTGGTTACTCGGGGGTTTTTGGGGTCGCTGATTACGAACCTAAGGTTGGTTTTCAAAATTCAAAATGGCGGATCCAATATGGCGGACGACAATTTGAAAATATGATACAATTTGCTTAAAAATGGTTACTCAGGGGTTTTCGGAGTCGCTGATTACGAATCTGATATCAGTTTTTTAAAATTCAAGATGGCGGATCCATTATGGCGGAAAATTTTTCAAAATTGATCGGATTCGACTGAAGCTCGTTGAATTTTGAATTTTAAAAAACTAACATGGGATTCGTAATCAGCGACCCCAAAAACCCCAGAGTACCCATTTTCAAGCGAATTGCATTATATTTTCAAATTGTCGTCCGCCATATTGGATCGGCCATTTTGAATTTTGAAAAACCGATCTTAGGTTCGTAATCAGCGACCCTGAAAACCTTAAGATACCAAGTTTCATAAAAATTCATTAAAATATTTTTCAACACACTTTTGGACCAAATAGTGGAAATCTCGTCGACAGTCAAGGGGTTAATATGTACAAACTTATTTTCAGACGATTGTGTAAGTTTTCTGAAAAGACAAGCAGAATCTCTTAATTTAACTGCGAAAGTTTTTGAATTGCATCCCACAAAACCAGTTGTAATTATTACATGGGAAGGCACAAAACCTGATAAACCTTCTATTTTAATCAATGGACATATGGATGTCGTTCCTGTAAATGCCGTAAGTTTTAATTAATTTAATGTATTTTTTGCAATCGGAACGCTTGAGTATAACTTCAAATATGAATTTATCTTTCCATACCGTAAAAATGATAAACGATAATATACTTCCATGTAAAAAGATTCCCCAGAAAGTGGAAATTCCACAGCAATTTCATGGAATTTCCAATTAAAATTTTTTCTGCATTTTTTTAAAACTCTCTGTATTGACTTAAATGAATCAAATATTAAATTTTTTATTTAGCAATAAATACATTCTTTATGAGATAATAAAAAATCTATACATGAACATGCAGTTATTTTGATCACCGAATCCTTGTACAAGGTTTACTAGGATACCTTAACATTTAATCTTTTTCAAAGGTTATTTAGAATCCCATGTAACATGAATTTTTTGGAAGAGTTGAGTTGGAGACTCTTTAATTTTAGATACGCAGCATGTTTTGTTTCGGGGACTTGTTAATTAAGAAAAAAATTTCTTTCAAATTTCAAGTTACCTATGTTAAAAATTCACAAAATATCTAAATTTGCGAATTTACATAAACATTTTTGTTTCACGCAGTTGTATTCAGCAAAATTTTTAACTGGAAATTCCGTAGAAACTTGATAGAAATTCTAAGGAAATTCCACAGTAATTTTCATTTTTCTTACATGGGCAGTATCCTCAAAAACTCCCGAGTAACAAGTTTCAAGAGATTCCATCAAAGTTATTGTCTAAAAAAACAATTATAGTTTGTAACCTTCAATATTTGTTAATTTAATTTGTTTATAAAATGTAAACTTTTATCCGTATAATTTTCTTTCGTTTAGAAAAAGCAGTGTTATGAACTAGTTTTTACTATTTTACAAATGCTTATATCAGAAGAACACATTTTCTTCAATATATTTCAACTTTTTTTTTCGTTAAATTCAAATTTTATAAATTAATACTATACACCTCAATTTTATTATAACAAATTTTTTAATTAAAAAAATAACATTTTTAATAAAATGTAATAAATGTTAAAAATTTTAAAGCAATAAAGAGGCACGTGTAAAAAAATTGAATCCTTGAAAAAATATCGCTTTGTCGAATAATAATAAAAATTTATCATTTAAGGAAGTTCTCTCGCAAACAGAAATGACGAAGAGTTAATTATCAAACTTGATAAACTGATAGATAATGGTTTAAAGAAGATGTAGTTAAATTTTTAGAGGTCTAGGTGGATTTTGACAAAAGATATAAATAATTTTCTCTTTTCACATTTAACACGGGTTCTTATGGGAAATTGAATTTTTTGGTCTGAAATCTCAAATTGTGAAAAATCTGACGAAAAGATATTACTGGAACTTTATATACATAAAGTTTAATAGCCAATGTTCACTTACTTTTAATAAAATTGATCAGACCTGGCTTAGGAGACTCACAATTAATTATTTTGTCTAAAAAAACACCGTAATTTGACAATCAGAAATTACTTAGCACAACGCTTGGCAACGTTGCGTCTTGTAGGTTAGGTATAGAAAAAGCGCGAAATTTGAAAGTAATATAAGTAGTATATACATATAATAGTATATTCTTCAAAGATTCATAATAATGAATAATAATTTGAATTTGCTTATAAAAAATTAAGATTTTTAAAATAATAAATTATTATTATTATTATTTAACGAAAATAAATCAAACAATAGCAGACGACACGAAACGGAACGGGGGAAATATAATCCAACGTTGCCAAGCGTTGAGCTAGTACTACGTGATACAAATGAAAACTTAAATGGGCATTGATTTGACTGACGTTGGAGGGAGAGAACTTCCTTAACAAAAAAAACATTTTTAATAAAATTTAATAAATATTAAAATTTTTAAAGCAGTAAAGAGGCACGTGTAAAAAAACTGAATCCTTGAAAATATATCGCTCTGTCGAAGAATAATAAAAATTTATTTAATTTACATTTAGTTTGTTAAACGGGATGCATGAAAAAGCTCTAAAACAAATTTTTTAGAATTATGATTTGATAGAATTTTATTCTCTAGAATATTACTTTTGCAGAATATTAAATTATTAAAATATTAATTTTGTAGAATTTCCAATAAACCGATTATCATAATGTTGCACAAATTATATTTAGACAAAAAGTAATTTGACAGAAATTAAATTTGATCGAATCTTTATTTGTGCGAAAAATTGTTTCGTATAGAATATTCCTTTATTGTGAAAAGAAAATTAGAGAAAATATTCATATTTTACAGAATATTTACTTGTTCAAATATTAATGTTGTAGAAAATTTAAATGTTTGAAAATCAGACAAAATTTTTATTTCAGTGAGAAGCAATTTATCAGAATTTCAATTTGATTGAAAGGTTATCTTGTAGAATATTAATTTTGGAAAATAGTAATTTAAAAGAATCTTAATTTTGCAGAAAGAAGATTATAAAAAATATTAATGTTACACAAATTGAGATTCGATCAAGTTTAATTTGTGGTAAATTAATTTTCGCCTAAATAAAATTTCTGCAACATTGATAACACAGGACTACAAAATTTTGGATTTTGTAAGACCCAGAAACCAGAATAGCGACTTTTTAAATATTTAATGCAATTAGATTAAAACTCGTTACTTTGGAGTTTTCGGGGTTGATGATTACGAATCTGATAAAAGATTTTTTAAAGTTCAAAATGGGGGACATTTATTAATTTTGTAATGTCAAACCCAACTACTCTGTTAGTTAAACTTTTGCATGGGACTATTTTTGTAGGTGTGGTTATTATTTCTTGTTTACCAATTCTAAATAGTTGCGCTTGACATTGAAAATATTAAAATTCACTAAAAACATTACTGAATTTTACTAACTAAATAGGCAGGAGAATAAATACCTCCTTTACTAATATAAAAAAGTAGTAGCCCCAACCATTCATCCAATGAATTCTAAAAAATATTTCCGACATGTTGGATCCGCCATTTTGAATTTTAAAAATCTGACCTCAGATTCATAATCAGCGAGCTCAAAACCTACAAGTAATGATTTTTAAGCGAATCCAATGAAATCTAAAAATTTAGTCCAACATTTTGAATTTCAAAAATCTGACATCAGATTCGTAATCAACGAACTAAAAAACCACCGAAAAAAGCTTTAATTAAAGTAATTTACAATTTTATTTTTCTTTTTTTTTAGAGTTTTTAAGACGTGTAACGTAAAATTCAAATAGCTGTATCTTAGAGAAAAAAAAATCGGATCAGATCGAGCTAAGAGAATTTTGAAAGGGGAAATATAGTATTTCCTTTTGAAATTTGGACCAATAATTTAAAAAAAATTTGTAGATTTTTTAGAGTGTCGAATATTTTTCACGCTTTTAGGTTAAGATATCTCAAAAATGTTGACGTTATAGAGCAATTTCGTTGTCATTTTTGGATTCAGCGTAACAAATTATATCGAAAATGACTATTCTGTTTTCTGGGTCTAATGTTTTACAGAATAGCGATATATTTTCAAGGATTCAGTTTTTTTACACGTGCCTCATTACTGCTTTAAAATTTTTAATATTTTTTAAATTTTATTAAAAATATTGTTATAAAAATTGTTTATTGTTTAAATAAAATTTCTGCAAAATTAATATTTTAACAATTTAATATTCTGCAAAAGTAATATTTTACAAAATAAGATTTTATCGAATCATATACTTCTCAAAACTTTGTTTTAGAGATTAGTTATATGCGTCCCGTTTATCAAACTAAATTTTATTAATTTCTTATATTCAGAGTTGTTAAATGATAAATTTTTATTATTATTCGACAAAGCGATATTTTTTCAAGGATTCGCTAAAAAAAACATTAAATCAATGAAAAATTACGTTTTGCATGATTACAAAATTTTTATTACAATTATGTATTGAAAATTGGTTTCACTCTAATATTTGTAATTTTTGACTAGATGAACTCTCTAAATCTGAATAAGTGAAATTTCACTTAAAATGTGTCAAAAGTCTTCCACGTAGAAAAATAAGTGTATATGCACTTTTAAATAAGTGGTTTTCACTCAAAAATAAGTGAAGTTTCACTTATTTTTAAGTGCATATACACTTATTTTTCTACGTGGAAGACTTTTGACACATTTTAAGTGAAATTTCACTTATTCAGATTTACAGAGAATGTTATTCTGAATTTAATAACAAATGTTCGAAAATTGTGTTTAGAAGAAGAGAAAAGCGCTATAAATGATTTTAAAGTAAAATCTACGGTAAATCAAAAAGCCAAAATTAATGTCCCAGATACCTATGGCCATCTTACCTGTACATTTCAGGAGACATGGCCAATTACAGTTTTTTAAGAAACAATAATTTTCAAATTTTTATCATTGCAATATTTTAAATATTTTTTTGTTTTTTCAAAGTATAATGTTCACTGTTTAATTAGCAATAAAAATTAATACATAAAATGCTTCCGTTTTATTTTTATGGACATTTAAATAAAGCATGGTCATCTATCCCGGACTTACCGTACACAATTACAATACAAATTGAAACTGTATACATTCAATTGAAATCATTAAATTTTACAGAAAGAATGGAAATATCCACCATTTGAAGCCAAAATGGATGAAAATGGCAATATTTATGCTCGTGGAGCGCAAGACATGAAGGGTGTTACTATACAATATTTAGAAGCAATTCGACGATTAAAATTAAAAGGAATTCGACTACGGAGAACGATTCATTTGTCCATGGTGCCGGACGAGGAAGAAGGAGAGTTAGGCATGCAAAGTTTTGTGAAATCTCAACAATTCAAAGATCTAAATGTTGGTTTTGCCTTGGATGAAGCAATTCCTGGATCTCAAAATAAATATTATGTAACCTATGCTGAGAGGACAATATTTGAAATTTGGATTCACTGCCATGGTAAACCCGGTCATGGTTCGAATTTGTCTGCTAATACTGCTGGCGAGAAATTACAAATCGTAATTGATCGTCTTTTCGAATTTAGAAAAACAGAAAAGAAAAAATTTGAGGATGCTGGGAATATGGACAATGTTACTTCCATAAATCTGACAATGCTCAAGGTATGATAAAAAAAACCATAATCAATTAAAATTTTCTCTGCCGAATAAAAAAATGCAAACAAAAAGAATATAATTGTTGTTGTCAAAGCTTCAAAAATTAGTTGAATTATTCAGACAAGATATAATAAGGACTTCTGGGGGTAACTGATTACGAATATAACGAATCTGAAGTTAATTTTCAAAAATCAAAAATGGCGGACGATTACGCTGATTACGAATTTGTAGATGGTTTTTGAAAATTCAAAATGGCGAATCTAAAATGGCACCAAAAATATAAAAACTTTATCAGATTTGCCTGAAACTTTTTACTCGGGGGTTTTTGGGGTCACTGATTACGAATTTGAAGTTGGTTTATGAAAATTCAAAATGGCGGATCAAATATAGCAATTATAATTAAAAAAAATCGGACAAGTGCGAGTTACACTCGCACTGAAATCGAGGGTTCCGTACTCGAAGCGAACTTATTTGGTATAAAAACAAATGTTTAAAAAATATGTGTTGTATGTTAAATAATATATGTGATACAAAAAGGAACAATTTTTAAAAAAAAATTTAAGAAAATTGTTCCTCCTTTGGTATAAAAACAAAAAAAAAATTTTAAATATGTGTTGTATTTCAAATAATATAAGTGATACGAAGAGGAACAATTTTCTGAAATTTTACAAAATTTTTCCTTTTTGTATCACTTATATTATTTAAAATACAACACATATTTAAAATTTTTTTTTTGTTTTTATACCAAAGGAGGAACAATTTTCTTAAATTTTTTTTTTAAAATTGTTCCTTTTTGTATCACATATATTATTTAACATACAACACATATTTTTTAAACATTTGTTTTTATAGGGTCAGTCGGGGTAAATCCGAACGGGGGGTAAATCCGAACGCTAATTATTTCAGCTTAATTAAAATTTTTCAAAATAAGTTCGATATGAGAATTTTTACCTCAGATCCTCTTGAAGAGATTCTAAGTATTATCCCATTTTTTGTTTGTTAATTAGCAACAGCATAAACAAAGATAACAAGTATTGCAAAAAAGATTGAAAATCAAAGATGACACTCTTTCAGTATTTTGTCTCGTATTTGAAGAAAAAGAAGCTAAAAATTCATTTTATTATTTATAATTGTTTGTTATGAATACTAGAACAGAAACTATTTTTGATTTTTGCCTTCTGTAAAATTTTATTAATAATATCAGACCGTTCGTATTTACCCAAGAAAATTGGAAAACTGGGGTAAATCCGAACGGTATTTTTAATAATTTTTTTTTACATCAAAGCCACACAAAATTGTTTTTATTTGATTACACTATTATTTTAACATTATAAAAGTACATAGAAAAAAGTTTTTCTTTCTATACGTATCCTCGTTAGTAATTAATAAGCAGAAACTTAATCTCTGTTCTCTCGAAGGAGTGTTTCAATTTTTTTGCCAAATGGTTTGTTGAAAAAAGTTTTTCAGGATCTTAATAAAATTTGGTATTCTACGGTTTTTGGGGTCGCTAATTACCAATTTGAAGTCAGTTTTTCAAAATTCAAAATGGCGGACGAGAATTAAAAAATTCATTGGATTCGCTCGAAAATTGTTACTCGGGGGGTTTCAGGGTTAGCAAATTTGATCATTTTTAAAAATAAGTTTTAGGAAAGTACGCCATTTTGAATTTAAAAAATTTGACTTTTATTTTTGTATTTACATTCAATCACTCCAAAATACTTTCTGTACCAAGTTTTGCAAAAATCCGTTATGATTTGATAAAGTTATTGAAGGTTTTAATTGTGTAATGCATTTTAATTTTTAACCTGTTTGATTTTTGTATTTATATATGATGCGTTATTACATAATAGGTTTATTATCGTATTTTTTTTGAGTTTTTATATAAGTTTAACAATTGCAATACTTTAAATTTATTTTCCCTAAGATTTTTCTGAAATACAGTGGCGTTCGTATTTACCCCCATATTTTAGGAAAGTTGCAAAGTATCGAGGTAAATACGAACGCTAAGTTTCCTGCGATTGTAATTTATCAAAAATTTTTTCTACCCCATAAAATTGTTCTATGGAAGTAAAGTAACAACTTCATGCACCAGAATACCGGAAGTATTTTTTTTTTAAAGAAAAAACTTATGTTATTGTTGAAACTTACTAAAAGCGTTCGGATTTACCCCAGTTGACCCTACCAAATAAGTTCGCTTCGAGTACGGAACCCTCGATTTCAGTGCGAGTGTAACTCGCACTTGTCCGATTTTTTTCGTTTTTTTCGGAAAAATACATTTTTTTATTAAATTTATCATTTTTCTTCAAAAATTTGATAAAAATTGATCATCAACTCCAATTGCGCTTACATTTTTTCCCTGTATTTTTCACGCAAAAATACTGTTTTACAGCAAATATGAACCGTTTGGGTTGAATATTATGTGCGCTAGGGAGAATAAATCATTTTTTTCGAAATTTTTGATTTTTCCTTGACAACGCTATGTAAATTGATCCGAATCAAGTCCGCTATATTTTTCCTGTAATTTTCACGTAAAAATACGTAAGTGTACCAAATTTGAGCTCTTTATGTCAAAAGATGTGGCTGCTAGGGGGGGGGGGTACATTTTTTTTTCATTTTTAGGTATTTTTCGTAAAAATTCATGGTTTTTCCTTGACAACGCTATGATAATCAACTCCAATCATGCTCGCTATATTTTTTTTGTAATCTACACGTAAAAATACGTAAAAATATATAAATTTAAATCCCTTTAAATAAAATTTTGTTCGTTTTTGGTAGAAAAATACATTTTTTTCCTAAAATTGTCATTTTTTCTTGAAAAACTTGATAAAAAGTTAATCATCAACTCTAATCGTGATCGCTTTTTTTCCCTGTATTTTTCCCGTAAAAATACATTTGTATACTAAATATGAACTGTCTGGGTTGAATATTGTTTGCGCTAGGGAGAAAAAATCAGTTTTTTTCAAAATTTTTTATTTTTCCTTGACAACGCTATGTAAATTGATCCGAATCAAGTTCGCTATATTTTTCCTGTAATTTTCACGTTAAAATACGTAAGTGTGCCAAATTTGAGCTCTTTATGTCAAAAGATGTGGCTGCTAGAGGGGGGGGGTACATAGTCATTTTTAGGCATTTTTCGTAAAAATTCATGGTTTTTCCTTGACAACGCTATGTTAATCAATTCCTGTAATCTACACGCGAAAATACATATGTGTACCAAATTTCAGCCCTCTAGATAAATTCGTGTGGCCGCTAAGGGGGGGGGCTACACGATTTCAAAAAAACCGATATTAATAGGGTAATTTTGTTATTAATTTAATTATCTGGGGTAATGATATGATATGATTTATGTCCCCCAAATATTTTACAAATTTTTTTACATATAATAAATTTTTGATTGTTAAATTAGTTGTTTTCTACTAAAAATTAGTTTTTTTTTACTAATTGGAGTATGTACGATTCTTTCATGATTTTACTGTTAATTAGTAGTTTTCTACTAATTCAGATTTAGAGAGCATGGTTGCTGATTTCGAATATAATGTCAGTTTTTAAAAGGCATATCTAAAAACACTCAGATAATAAAATTAATAACAAAATTATAATTTTTTAAGAATTATAGTTGCTATATTGGATCCGCCATTTTGAATTTTCAAAAACCAACTTCAAATTCGTAATCAGCGACCTCAAAAACCCCTGAGTAAAAAGTTTCAGGCAAATCTGATAAAGTTTTAGAATATCATCCGCCATTTTGAATCCACCATTTATAATTTTTGAAAATTAACTTCAGATTTATTATATTCGTAATCAGTTACCCCCAGAAGCCGTTATTAAACCTTGTCTGAATAATTCAACTAATTTTTGAAGCTTTGACAACAACAATTAAATTTTTTTTGTTTGCCTTTTTTTATTCCAGGCGCAATATTTATTGTCCATATTTATATTTTCAAATACGCCAAACGGCAAATGAAACTAGACATCTTGAGCTACAATTTCATGTATCGTATGATTTTTTAATATCAAACCAATTTTGGGCAGTAGGGGGTGTCCGTTTGGCAGAGAATGGCCCATATATATGTATAAGAAAGATGTATCTCAATGAGGTCTGTAACTTTTGTCTAAAACATTTTTTTGAAATTTTTATTATTTGAAGAGATAATATCAAAAATCTGATTTATGGGAGTTTTTTATGGTTTTTACCATGAAATTCAAATTTCTGCCAATTGTAATCATGGTTTGCGTAATCGAATCAGATAAGTATATACCAAGTGTCAAAAAAATTAGAGTCAAATTTTTTACTCTCCTTTTTATGTAAAAATTTTAAGAAGTAGAACATGAAATATAAGCGGAAAGATTCTGCAAAGCAATAGAAACAGAATGGTCACGGAACAATAGCAGCAACGAATTATTTTTCTATAAAGATACTAATTTTGAAATTCGTCTTTTTAGGGTGGCATGCAAGCAAATGTAATTCCCGATGTGTTATCAGTGGCATTTGACATTCGTGTTTCACCTTTTGTTAATTTTACAAAATTCGTTGAAATTTTTGAAGGTTGGTTAAGGGAAGCTGGCGATGGAGTTAATTATACTGTTATTGACAAAGGCCCGCCAACTGATGTTACAAAACTAGATTCAAGTAATATTTATTGGCTAGCCTTTAAACAAGCTTGCGATAAGAATTCTATAGAAATAGAAACACGAATTATGCAAGGAGCAACAGATTTACGCTTTATACGCGCTGTAAGTTGAATATTTTTTTTACTAAAGTTTGATAATTTCAGTCAAAAAATAGTAGTTTTCTGGAATTTTTCAGCTTGGAATACCAGCTTTGGGATTTACACCATTAGGCAATACTACTGTATTAGCTCACGCTAATAATGAATATGTCAATAGGAATGACTTTCTTAAGGGAATTAAAATACTTGAAAAAATTTTATTAAAAGTTGCAAATGTTTAATTGTTTACGTAATTCATTTTTAATGGAAAAATTATTATTATTATAGTACTTGAAAACTGAAATTTTAATATTGCAGATAAAAATATGAATATAAAGATTAAAATAATATATATAATATGCAACACATTTCTGTTGCGTAATAATACAAAAAAGCTAACATGCTAAAAACCACTTAATAATGACTTTTTTTTACAGAATTTCACCTGAGTCGAATTTTTAAATGCCAGAATTTTAATTAAATCAAATCTTCATTTGTCCGAATTTTTATTAACACAAAATGTCATTGAATAGAAATCTTAAAACTTAGAATTTTCATTTATCCTGCAAATGGTCGAATAATGAAATGGCAGAAATATTTCGGCGCCAATTTCATTATTCGACCTTTTGCAGGATAAATGAAAATTCTAAGTTTTAAGATTTCTATTCAATGACATTTTGTGTTAATAAAAATTCGGACAAATGAAGATTTGATTTAATTAAAATTCTGGCATTTAAAAATTCGACTCAGGCGAAATTCTGTTTAATAAGAATTCTGATAAATAAAAATTCGTGTTAAGAAGAATGTGTTTGAATAAAAAGTGTCCTAAATGGAAATTATGTTGAAAGAATATGTTGTTAAATAAGAATTTTATCACATAGAAATTCTGTTAAGTATAAATTCTTGTTAATTTAAATTCTATTAAACATTAATTCGAAAAACACAAGTTCGAATAAAATGAAATTCTATAAAATGAAATTTCTAAAATGATTCAGATTATTGGCGATTCAAACAGCTACACTAGCGCCACAGTTGAACTAATTTAGGCGTGACTCGCTCTGTAGCACTCCATGTGTTTTAAATTATTTTTTTTTATTTAACGCTTAAAAATAATTTTACAAACGCAATAAAAATATCAGAATAATTAAATAATTTGAAATAAACTGTCAAAACAGAGACTGCTTTAGAGCGAGTCACGCCTAAATTAGTTCAACTGTGGCGCTAGTGTAGCTGTTTGAATCGCCAATGAAATAATCATGCGCCCTAAAATTCAGCATTAACATTCGCTCCATTATCGACGAGGTCATTTAAAGCTAATTACACAGTTTAGACAAATCATTTAAACCTAATTAATATAAGCTCTATATTATAAGTCAATTTGCATGTCTATAGTAATAACAATTTTGCTATTAGTAGGAAAGAGTGGGGCAAAACCAGGTAGGCGGGTCAAACCGGGTACCCCCAGTTTTCCATGATAGGTATTTCCATTTGTGTCACCCTTTACATATATCTTTTATATTACAACCAACATCATTTTAATATGGGATCTGACATTCGTACACATGCCATCTGGTGTTGAAAAATATAACTAGTTTTGGATAACTGTTTGTGTCACTTGCAATTGTAGTTCCGCTGTCATTGTTAATTATTTTATCATTATGAATGAAGTTACATTTTTACCGCGTGAGGAATCTTCCTGCAGAATTAAATGTTCTGTGAGAGGCTGTGGCAGTACTGTAGCGAAAAATTTAAGCGTAATTTTCCATAAATTTCCGAAACCAAAACCAAAATTACACGATTTACACCACACTTTATAATGTGCCCGGCTTGCAAAACGCGTTCACCTTCAATAAATTTTCGTTGAGCAGGATTTGTACCTGCCCATGTGCAAATACTGTCCATAGAAATGAACATTTTCTGCATTCCATGTTATTCCCATGTAAATTCACTAAAAGTGTTACCCAATTTACGCCATATTGCTTTAGGCCCCGCCCCCATGTCAGATCCCAATATAAAAAATTATTTATTATATTTTATACGATTTTAAATTTTAGGTCAAAAGAAAATACATTTTTTATCGAAAGTAAATGACTTATATAAAACTTTTTGTGTCGATATATTCGTTTCGGCAAGTATAACATCGTTTTCAGCATTTATTTACGAATAATTTTCTTTAAAAGTAATTGTTAAATTATTAACAATAATCTGAGAATTTAACATTTTGTTAAAAAATGCAGTGCGGGGAAAAACCGGGTACCAAACGGTGGGGCAAAATTCGATATTTCAATTTTTTTCCATATCGATGAATAAACGATAAAAATTAAAATTAATTAATTAATTAATAACAATAAAATTAATAAAAATATGAAAAATTTCGTTTTAAAAGATTTAACTGCTGTTATTTATTATTAATATAATATATTTTGATCAAATTTATTGAATATTAATTATTTTCTATAATGTAAATGAATATTCCATGATTTATATATTTTCTTGATAGTACCCGATTTTGCCCCACCATCGGGGCAAAACCGGGTGCTTTGCAGTTTGTTGGAAAACCTAGTTTAAATTGACCAAAAATATTTGTTTATGTCATATCGACCTTATTTTCTCGTTCTCTAATATTCAAGGAAGAATTTTCAACGAGACTTAAACTAATTTGTTTGATAGATTCTTTATAACCGAGAATTACAAAAATGTACCCGGATTTGCCCCACTCTTCCCTACACTAATAAATAAATTTATAATTTGCAAAATAAATTTTGTTACACTGTTTTTTGAGTTTAAAAATTAAATAGTAAAGAATTGCATTCGATTGAACTGAAAAATGGTATTGGGGAGTTTTTTGCCTCTAATTGTTATTTTATCATAAGAATAGTTTTTAAAGTACATATTTTGATTCACCAATTATTTATTAATTTATTTTTTATTTTCTAATGTATGATGTATTTTGTACAACCATTGACAATTTTCTATTGCACACAGTGAAAAAAAAATTATTTGATTTAAATATAATCGGTTACTTGATTATTGTCAAATAAATATTTACTTGACCAAATAAATTTCGATTTAAGTCTGTAAATATTTATTTTATAATAGTCAAGTGACCGATTATTTGAAAGAAAGAAATTTTCAGTATATACTAATAGCAAAATTGTAATTACTATTGACATGCAAATTGATTTATAATGGCTTATACTAATTAGTTTTAAATGATTTGTCTAAAATATGTAATTAGCTTTTAATGATCTTCCCTTTCCTTAGATGATCCCTTCCCCTCCACTGAGAACTCGTGAGTCTAATACGCTGATCATCATCATTCGGTGCTAAATTGTCAAGAGTTTCGGAACTGTCTTTAAAAAATTTTAAGAATATCCTTTTTTATAAAAGTTTTCTATAAATACTGATAAGTTTAAGTGACGGAAGTGTGTTTTTTTAAATTTTCAAGAATATATTCTCCATTCGAAAAGTATTCTTTAGTTATATAGATAGTTTTCAGTTTTTATCTATTGACAAAAACTAATATAGATTGAAAAACAAGTTCTGCAGTGCGAATTGTGAAACATTTGTGGATTACTTGTAATAAATATTATACAAAAAATTGTAAATCGTAAGTATCCACACTCAGTATAAATTATAATATTATATATTTACCAAACTTTTTATTTCAATGAATTGGAATTTATTTTTAAATACGTATATATTTAAAAAAAATTAAAGCGGGGTATGTATATTTATTACTCGGACGGAGAGTTTTTATCGTGACAACGTCTTTTTTAATTAATTAAAATATATTTTATAAGATTATTATTTAGTATTTATTTTGTACATAAACACACTGAAAAAAAATTTATTTGATTCAAATAATCGGTTGCTTGACTATTATCAAATAAATATTTACTTGAACCAAATAATTTTTATTTGAATTAAATAAATTGTACTTGAACCAATAATTTTTTTATTTGAAACAAATACCATTTCTTTGACTCAAATAATAATTATTTGATAATAATCAAGTAACCGATTATTTGAATCAAATAAAAAATTTGTCAGTGCATAAAATTAGAATAAACTGAAAATAATTTCCAAACAATTAAATTAAAAAATATTCAAAACGAAATGCCACATTATTGCCAATTGCTAAAATTTTGTTCCAGAATAATATCAAAACATAACCTCAATTATGGATTTACTCTGTTCAAGAATTGTGGTGGACCAGTTAATTACAACAATTCTTAAACAGAATACATCCATGATTGAGGTTATGTTTTGATATTATTCCGGTGCAAAATTTCTGCAATTGGCAATAATGTGACTATACTATGTACACCAACACCACACTACACGATCGCGGATCGCTCCACATTTTTTTCCTCGAATAACGGCACGAAAAAAACAAAGTGACAGTTTCGGCAGCCATGTTTATTTTTACCATAATACATAAATAGGTATAGTGGATACTGTCAGCAGTAGCGCTGTATACTAACATGTTAAATCTTTAACCGGTCGGTGACATAGAAAACTTTAAAAAATTTCATTTTCAAATTTGACAAAATTTGGCATCGAGATTAGATCCAAAGTAATCGAATTAAACAAAAATCTTGAAAATATGACTTATGGCACACTCACACACCCTTTTAACTGCCTGCCTGCATGCAGGTTACCATGGCATCGCACAAGTGTGAGTGAGACAGAAAATTTGAATTTTTAAATTTTCTGTCGCACTCACTCTCATGCGTTGCCATGATAACCTGCAGGCAGCCAAAAAGGTATGGGAGCGCCTTTATAGTTTTCGAGAAATCGGCGGCGATAAGAACGCCAATTTTTCTGACTGGCTTCCTAGACCTCGGAGTTAAACGAATTTCATTTGTCATAATTATTTTTGAGCCAAATTTTTATTTGTTCGAATTAGAATTTTGCAGAATTTTCATTAAAACGGTTTTCTATATTAAGTACATAATTTTTATACAATCGAAAATTCACTTCACAGAATTTTTATTTGCTCAAATTTTCATTTAATATAATAGGCATTTTAAAGAATTTTTATTGGGTAGAATTTGATTGCATAGAATTTTATTTCAGATGAATTTTCATTTGTTCGAATTATTATTTGATATAATTTCCATATAATCGATTTTTCATACTACAGAATTTTTACTTAACCGAAAAATCATTTAACAGTATTTCCAAATTGATAGAATTTTCATTTAAATCCGAAATTGCAATGAGCCAAAAATTTTAAACGTTCATATGAACGAAATTTGTTTTGTTACTTCTTTAAGTACGAATTTTATTACAAAATATTGTTTAAAATATCTAAAAAGAAGTTATTAATTTAATAATTGTTTAATTTACTGTTTTATTTTACATGGTCATCATAATTTTTAATTATTTATAGATTGAAAAAAATATTTCGTTCATATGAACGTTCAGAACTTTCGGCTCATAAATTGAAAATGGCTGAACAAACAATCGACAGAAAGATTTCGGCGTGAATTTTAAAATCAACCGGATAATTTTTCATTGGTTGATTTTAAAAATCGCGCCGAAAACTTTCTGTCGATATTTTGTTCGGTCGTTTGCAACTTCGGACAAATAAAAATTCTATCAATTAGAAATTCTGTTTAAATGATTTTTTGGTTAAGTAAAATTTCTGTACGTAAAGTATAAAAAATTGGTTATATGGAAATTATATCAAATAATAATTCGAAGAAATGAAAATTCATCTGAAATAAAATTCTGCCCAATAAAAATTCTTTAAAATTCCTGTTATATTAAGGGCATCCGGGAGAAAATAATGGTTTTGTAGATTTCTTCTCATTTGAAAAAAATAGAATATTTTAGGTTGTAATTTTTTGGAAATAATAGAGGAAGGTACCCTGCCAGGAGCTCTTCTCGGAATTTTGCATAATCTTGATAAATAATTATTGAAAAAAATGTTTAAACATTGGCAAAAAGGGGTTTCGTAAATTTCTTCTCATCTTTAAAGGATAAAGTATTTCGAGTTGGCATTTGGAAGAATAATAGAGGAAGGGTCACTGAGTGGGGCTCTTCTCCATTTTTTCAATAATATTGTGAGGAAATTATTTTATTAAAGATTTAAAGTGGAGTAATTTGGGGTAAGTTAGTTCAGCAGCGGCCACTAGCTAGAATAGGCGCCACCTTCTGGGCCACTGACACATAGATTCAATGTCTGTGTGCTCGCCTCCCCTACTGTCCCCACTTCTGTCAAAAATCCAACTTTTGTAACCACAAAATTACTTGTAAAAATGAAGATGATTCTTAATCGACTCGCCCTCATCTAATTAATCCGACAAATCCGAACAAGATATTTTAAGTTATTTACGAGTAATATCTCGCGCGGGAAAACACTTTTAGGTTAGGGATTTTTCCCGGATGGCCTTAAACGAAAATTTGAGCAAATAAAAATTCTGACAAATAGAAATTTGAGCAAATAAACATTCTGTGAAGTGAATTTCCGATTGTATAAAAATTTTGTACTTAATATAGAAAACCGTTTTAATGAAAATTCTGCAAAATACTAATTCGAACAAATAAAAATTTGGCTCAAAAATAATTATGACAAATGAAATTCCATAAAATGAAGATTATTCTAACTAATGATTTTTAGAACATAATCATGTGTCCCATAAACTTTTGAGGACAGAATTTTTGCGTTACCAAATCTTCATTTTTAACAGGATTATAATTAAACATTTTTATATTTATAAATTTATAAATTCTGAGAATAAGG